TGTTGTATTCTCGGTATGGAATCGTTAATTTTCGGTAGGCCGATGTACATCTATCCAATCAGGGGGCTGAGTTGTGGTCATATATAAGGTGTTTTTTGTGTGGTAACTTCACTTCTAGCCGTCGTATTGACCGAGTAAACTTATGGACGCCAATTTACAGCAAGTTATTCAGACAGAGGTACAAAATGCCGTTCAAACTACGCAGGACCAGTTGTTGAACAACATGACGAAGTTACTGGATTCACGTCTGGAGGGTTTCCAAAAGAGGATACAAGACAATCAGAAAGTGCTGTCAGATACTCAAATAGCAAGAATGGACGAATCACTAACCGACAATTACAAATTTCGAAAGAGGGGGAATGAGGAGCAACACAAGCACAACCAGAAAGTGTTCGTTAAAATTAGAGAAGCACACGCCGAATTCGAGACCGACAACTTGACGCAGTCAAACATTAACAGTGCCAAGAGAAAAATTTCTGAAGGTATGGACTTGATTAAAAATCGACAAAAGCTGATAAAACTTGCCGATTCATCAGACGCGGGATGGCGCGTGGTAGATGAATACGTAACTAACCCACTGGCAGAAGATTCAGAGGACGAAAAGAAGATGTATAAAGCGCAAAATAGAGCAGAAAGCAAGCTGAAGAAGGAAAAGTTAAAAAGACGCCCAGACCGCAAGAGCGTGCCATACACACAACAGGCCCCAGCAAAAGCAGCAAATTCGATCCCGGTGAACGTTAGTGGTGGATCCAGGTCTGATGTACGACCCGGTAGATGCTTTCATTGTAATGAGTACGGGCACTGGATTAGGAATTGTCCAAAGTCTGCTGCAGAGCAAAAACACAAGATAAGTATTGATACTACTATATGTAAAATCGATAACGTAAAACTGAATACACACCCAGAGACCGATCTAGCATCGGGTGAACTCTATTCAATGAGTAATGTAAATTCAATAACACAGACATCACGTGATGTCCAGTCAATGAGCAATACACATACTACTACTATAGTAAAAAATAACGGTACAGGTGTAGGTCATTTAAAAGAGAGCTTGAGCGAATGGAAGAAAATAGGTGCCACGGATTTTGTAATAGACATTATAGCAAACGGGTATAAAATTCCTTTCAGTACCATTCCATGCACGGTTGAATTACAAAATAACAAATCGGCACGAGACAATCCCGATTTTGTAAAGAGCGAGATTTAAAAAACTGCTGGAAAAAGGATGTATTACTCGAGTGTCTCGTAGGCCATATGTAGTTAATCCTCTAACTGTAGCTCATAATAGAGGTTCAAAACTCAGATTAGTATTAGATGCAAGACATATCAATCCACATGTCGTTAAATTTAAACACAAATACGAAGATGCAAAAACTGCTAGACAACTATACGATAAAGGAGATTTTGTATTCTCTTACGATTTAAAAAGCGCATACCATCACATTAGTATTTTTGAAGCAGACACTACATATTTAGGTTTCAAATGGGAGCATGAATATTATGTGTATAATGTTTTGCCTTTTGGGTTGTCAACTAGCGGATATATTTTTACAAAGGTAGTCAGGGAGGTTATCAAATATTGGAGAAGTACAGGTTTAAAAATCGTCATGTATCTAGACGATGGCCTCGGCGGGGGCAAAAACATGAAAGAGGCTATGTTAGCGAGCGAAAAAATTCACTCTGATTTGGAGAAATTTGGTTTTGTTCTTGCAGCAGAGAAGTGCAATTGGGCCCCTATTCAAAGTTTAGAATGGTTGGGTTTTCATTGGGATATGACAGAAGGGGTTATAAGAATTACCGAAAAAAGAATAGAAAAGCTTTTAAAAATTTTAGAAGTTTTCAGGACACAATTTCACTACGGGATTAGGCTTTTCCGGGTGAAATTCATTGCAAGTATTGTAGGACAGATCATATCAATGCAGCCTGTATTAGGAGATCAGGCACGTTTAAGAACAAGGTATTTGTATCAATGTATATTGCAAAGGGCAAGTTGGAACGCCCAAGTACTAGTTAGTACGGACGCATTCAAGGAATGCACTTTTTGGGAACATAAAGCTAAAAGCTTTAACGAGATAGGATCTCGGTTAAGTCAGTTGACTTATAATGAAACACAAGATTATTATGTGTTCAGCGATGCATCTGGTACAGGTTTCGGTGGTTTTGTTACCACTGGTTCAGAGGACGAACCTTTGGAAATGTTTGGTAGTTGGTCGTTGACGGAACAGTCCGAAAGTTCGACCTGGAGAGAGCTCGAGGCTGTAAAAAGAATATTGATAAATTTTGTCAATATTCTCACTGGCAAGATTATCAGAGTGTTCACAGATAACCTGAATATCACACATATACTTAATGTTGGTAGCAGGAAGATAGTTTTGCACAAAATCGCTTTGTTCGTTGATGAATTCTGCAGAGAGAATGCAATTAAGTTGAGCTTGGTTTGGATACCACGAGAAACAAACCAGTATGCAGATACTTTAAGTAGGGTAACAGATTGTGATGACTGGGAAATACAAGATGAGGTTTTTCTGTACCTTAATCATGTTTGGGGTCCACATGATATAGATAGGTTTGCGCATGATTACAATGCCAAGTGCAAGCAATTTAATTCAAAGTTTTGGTGCCCCGGGACTGCTGGGATAGACTCGTTTACAGTAGAATGGGGTGGACATAATAATTGGGTAGTTCCACCACCAAGTTTGATTCCAAAGGTAATAAATAAGATTAGTATAGAAAAATGTAATGGCACTTTAGTCATCCCGGAATGGACATCGGCACCATTTTGGCCCATGTTGGTGGATCGACTTGGAAATTTTAAGGATTTCATAGTTGATAGCAAGTTTTTTCAAGGGGAAAATCTGACTAAAAGAGGCAGAGGTCAGTGCGGAGTATTTGGACAACAGCGCTTAAAATTTAGATTAATTGCTATAAGAATAGAATTTTAGTTTGCAATATACTTATGACGTTATTTATTTTGACAGGGGTTAAATTAGACCGTACAGTGGAGGAGACCGTCCAGGACAGTGGGATAGAAGTTGGCAGTTATATGTACGAGCTTTATCCGAAAATGTGTGAACTGTTGATTAACTCTAAAAGTGACAATACCGTTAAATCATATTTTAATTCATATAAACGGTGGGAACGTTTCATTACTTTGCAAGGTCACAAATCTTTGCCAGCTCAGCCAGTTCATGTTGCACTGTATTTAACACATTTATTGAACAATAATTCAACTTGTCACCCTGTTTCTAACGCAGTTTATGGTATTAAATGGGCACATGAGATAAATGATCTAAACGATCCTACAACAAACACTTTCGTAACATCGATTCTTGAAGCTTCTAAAAGAGTAGCATCAAAAAAGACAGAAAAGAAAGATCCAATTACTCCTGAAACTTTAATTGAACTTTGTGACATGTTTAAAGATTCTTCAGATTTACTTGTTATAAGGGATTTGGCAATGATGATTTTGAGTTTTTCAGGATTTCTCAGATATGATGAGGTCAGTTCCTTACGTTTTTGTGATGTTAAAGTACACGAGTCTCATTTAATTTTGTGTATTCAAAAAAGTAAAACCGACCAATATAGACAAAGTTCTGAAGTCTTGATTTCTAGGGGTGTTTCATCTGCTTGTCCTTACACAATGTTTATAAGATACACTAGGTTAGCAGGTTTTGGTGATTCTGGTCAGCAAAACTTTTATTTGTTTCGGCCTATTTATAGATCTCGTAATACATGCAAGCTCATTACAAAAGATAAAAAACTAAGTTACACGGCGGCTAGAGAGTCAATTCTTAAGAGAATCCGGACAATTTGTCCAGAGGGAAACATAGGTCTTCATTCATTCAGATCCGGTGGGGCCACGATGGCGGCTAACGCTGATGTTAGTGACAGATGCTTAAAGAAGCACGGCAGATGGAGGTCTGACTCCAGTAAAGACGGTTACATAGTAGATTCCACTGAGAAACGTTTGAAGATATCTAAGGTATTAGGCCTATAGATTACCCCTTTCTTTGATTTTCTATCACGTACGACGGGCTGTCGGCAAATTTGAATTTGCGTTTGAGTTTTATTTTTCTGCCATGCGTACAAAAAGGTGTTGTTGGTGTGCTGTCAGTGGCAGAAAAGGGTGTCATTTGTGTGTCTGTCGTCTGTAGTATAGAGAATACTAATATTTTCCCGCGTTTCGATCAGTATAGCGGGAAAATGTTGTATTCTCGGTATGGAATCGTTAATTTTCGGTAGGCCGATGTACATCTATCCAATCAGGGGGCTGAGTTGTGGTCATATATAAGGTGTTTTTTTGTGTGGTAACTTCACTTCTAGCCGTCGTATTGACCGAGTAAACTCCATTATTTTAAATGATGTTTATATATCTATTGTTAGACAAATATTTTTGCTTTTCGTTAACTGTTTGAACCGACGAGGTCCGACGTCATTATCCTGAGATAGGCTCGAGCATTGATTCGGATACAGGTTTCCGTAATACGGTTTTTCCTGGTCGGCCTTGGCTATCAATGAGGGGTAATTTATTAAACGTACAGCTGCCAATATTTTGATATTTTGCTGTGTTTTGTACATAATGATATGATTGGTGAATGAAAATGCCAATTGATTACTGATTTATATGCTTTATTTGATGATATGTCACGATTATATATTATATACAATTATATCTGGCGTCCATCACGTACGACGGGCTGTCGGCAAATTTGAATTTGCGTTTGAGTTTTATTTTTCTGCCATGCGTACAAAAAGGTGTTGTTGGTGTGCTGTCAGTGGCAGAAAAGGGTGTCATTTGTGTGTCTGTCGTCTGTAGTATAGAGAATACATGTTAAATCCTATCAGACATGATTTCTAAATAAATATTATTATTCAAATACAACTCACACTGAAATGCACTTCTAGTATGCATTATACACGTAGTTTAACGTGACTGTGTCCATTTAAATAATGCGGTTTTAAATAAATGTAATTTAGCAATAAACTTATAAGCTTACCTTTTACTGCACACAACATATATCATGTATATACACTTTAAACAGAAAATGGCGTCGTGTGTGTACCTCTTAAAATAGAATTTATATATACCGAACTACAAGTGTAATTCTATTTATTCGAAATTTACACGATTGATATTATTCGTTAGATAATTACATTTTGACTGGTCGCCATAGCGACACGATATAACCCAGATTTATCATTTCGCTTGCAGACGATTTTTATTGAACGCATAAAAGTCGATATCAAAATACTATGATTGATAAACTTAAATGTCTTATTGATATATTCTTGACGCAGCATATTATACCTTTTTATTAATATATTTATCGAAATGACAAATATTTTTATTTGTACAATTTTTTTTTCAACATCATAAGCTATTTTACCATCTTTTCCGACATCAAAGCTGCAAACAAGAACTAATTATTTCATAATATTCTCGGTAAAAATAAACATATTTCTTTGAAGTTAACACTCAACAAAGTTAGAAATTGTATATTTCGCCAGGATAATGTTCTTTTTTGAAGCTTGATAAGTTTGTATCCATAATTTATCTATTTCCGTTTTCAAAATGAGTTAAAAGTGTTTGATGTGCGTAACAACCAGATAACAAAAGGAAGACTAATTAAAGCTTTAAGATATGTACATGTATGTAAATAGGAATCGTCCCAAACAATATCATTTGATGAACAAATTAGTTTTACTGAACTGAATAATGATATCTATAAATACATAAAGAAAATCAATAATTCAACAAGAATTTGAAATTTGTCTATTAAATGAATCAGGGAAAACCATTTAAAATACTATTTATTTTTACATTAGCATTTATATTTGAAAGATTTATGGACATAATTGATTTTTTTATGTATATCCCAGAGACTATTCAATTATCCTCAAATGATTTAATGATATATAATAATCATAAAAGGATAATTATCGCTAGGTCATTTAAGAATCTCCAAATAATCCAAGGATATCTTAAAAACAGTAAGGGATATCATTTAATCTCTTCAGGATAACCATCAATTGAATGAAGATATCCTAAATGCAACTAATTATGAATGTCTTTAAATAAATAAACGACATCCTTCAGTCATCTAAGGATACCCAGTAATTGTTTTGGGATATCACAAATTAGTTAATGCAGGGATTTGTATAGTAAGATGTTTAGGCGATGGAATATCCGCCATTAATCAAGGCTCGCTGAGCATCATCGAAATGAACGATGGGTACATTTGTAATCACACAAAATCACGCCGCATACATGCAAAAGTCCACGAGGATCCAATCCTTCTTACTATACAAATCCTTGGTTAATGGTACTTTTAATTCATTTAGGGATATCAGAAGTCCATTACTCTACTAAAATGGACTTCTGAGGACATGCATAAATCGTTTAGGGATATAATTAATTCTTGGTCAGTTATTGATATTTCATTTATAAATATCCTTCATTCATTACAAAATGTTTTATACAATTCCATTCTTGATATCCTTAGATATTTTGCGATATTCCTAGGAATAAATTTGTGGAAATCAATTAATCAAAGAGGAATATTCTGCAATCAATGTAGGGTATCTAAAATTTTATTAAGGATTCTGTAGAAATATCATTTATGGATATCCATAAACAGTTAAAGAATATCATTCAATTAATAAAGGATAAACCTTATTTAATTGTATCAAGTGTGTTCTTAAATCATAAAGGATATCTTTTGATATGTTAATGAAATAAATTAATCATTCAATGATGTGCATTATTTTACAGATATGATTGAATAATAATTGGTTACAGTACCCTTATGAAATAATTATGAATATTCTTACATGAATTCATAAAATCCTTTATGTATTAAAGGATATCCCTTATTAATTAATGGATATTCTTATTTTATTTAAGGTTGCCCTTAATTCATTCATGGTTAACCTTTAATCTATTCAGGATATCCCAAATTCCCAATCATTTATATTCTTTATCTATTTATGGATATCCTTATAAATACCGTGGCGGATCCAGAGGGAGGGTTTCGGGGTTGGAACACCCCCTTTTTTTTTACGATCAATGCATTTGAATGAGGACAATGTAGTTGGAACCCCCTTTATAAATGGCTGGATCCGCCCCGGCTGAAATATAAGGCTTTATATAATCATAAAATGACTTTTAGATACCATTTGATCTGTTAAGGGTACTAATAAATCATTTACGGATAAAAAAAATACTAATATATTGAATGAGATCCCTAAGTGAGCTAGTTATGAATATTAATTTATTTCGGAATACAATTATCATTTAAGGGTGGCTGTAAACTATTCAGTGTTATATCTACCGACGAAACGCGCGTCTGGTGTACAAAATAATAAGTCTGCTATATCCTTGATAATTTTTTTCAATAAGGTATTCATTGATCTCTCATAATGCCAATTATTATTCAGTGATATCCATAAATTAATTCGTGATACCCTTAATTTGTTTGGGGATATCCTTGATTCATTTTGGGATATCCTTAATTCATTAAAAAATCTTTAAATCATTTAGGGGAAACCCAATCTCTTATTGAATCATTTATAATTATTCTTTATTTGTGAATATCCTTAATTCATATCAATAAGAAATAGCAACAAGCGACTATATAATGTGTTGTGACTCCTAATTGATTCCTCATTATCAAGTGTGTTGTTATGGTAAAACGCAAATGTGCGGATCCAGGATTTTGAAAAGGGGAGGGGGCCCAAGCAAGCCAATATTTGGACTGATATGTGTATAAAGTCTTAGAGTCTATGCATTTATCATATGAAGCTCCATAAAGGGGCCCGGCCATCCTAAGGTAAAATCGCCTCTGATACGTGTTCTTATAGCACATGTCGATGATGACGTTTGAGAATCTTTTAAGTATTTCGATAATCGACTCTCAAAAACTGACAAAATTTATCTTACATGTCCATTAGAAGAATGTGAATTCCTCAGCAGCACAAATTCCCTGTGCCTGTTGAATAATACAACATTTTAGTCCTAGATATTCCAAATATTTGCCACTGGATGTTAAGCAACCAACAATCAATCTATCCTAAATATTCCCATGGGTTCGTTATGACTATGTTGGTTATTTTACTCGATCCTCATGACGCAGATATGATAATTTTGGACAATGTGTTGAGCGGAAGCCATCTTGATTTCACAAAGTTATATATGTTTGTGTGCTTTTTACCAACTAATAACAAAACAGAAAGTCTATCTTCGGGCTATATTTTATAAATTTATGTTAGTTGTCCTAATACCCATACTAATTGAACAAGAACACAATTAACATTAATGTTATATTCAAACCATGAAAACTATGTCAAGATTGGGGAACCCCTGTCATACTTTTTTTATTGTACAAGAATTCTTTGTACAAAACAATAACTTAATTTTAACAACTTTGGTCACTGACTTGAGCACTAAAAAAATATTGATCACTGATCCATGAAAATTAGATCAAGACTATTTACAGGCTAAAATCCTTATACAAAATCAAATATATTTAATCTTGTACTCAAAGTAACTGGAAATTCGTCAAATAAATAACATTGAGCATTTATCTTTGGACCATGATTTGTGGTCAAGGTCTGCTACCCTTTTCAGTCGAGAATGTATACTTGTATGAACTTATTATGATTGTGAACAAAAGGAGACGTGGGAAGTTGAGGAGAGGTGAGGTCAATGTTAATTCCTGTCAAACGATGGGAGAGGACAGGTTGGTGTTTACTCCTGCCAAAATGAAATATACTATAGGGGAGGGTTTGGCGCCATCAAACTACTTTAACCAAGCCACATTCTGTATGTGCCTGTCCCAAGTCAGGAGCCTGCAATTCAGTGGTAGTCGTTTGTTGCTGTGTTACATATTTGTTTTTCGTTCATTATTTTTGTACATAAATTAGGCTGTTAGTTTTCTCGTTTGAATTGTTTTATATTTGTCATTTTGGGGCCTTTTATAGCTGACTATGTGGAATGGGCTTTGCTCATTGTTGAAGGCCGTACAGTGACCTATATTTGTTAATTTCTATGTCATTTGGTCTTTTGTGGAGAGATGTCTCATTGGCAATCATACCTTATCTTCTTTTTATATACACCTTACAGTGCATTTCCAGGGTTTGCGGTAATGTATAGCCGAATCGTTCAAAATGGTAAAAATAAGGAGTCGACTGAAAATTTCAGCTACTGTGACCTACTTGTAAATCTTGCCTTGCAGATAAATTTTGCTGCTTACTGTTTTTCTTTATCCATCAAAGTTTTCCCCAAAAATAGAAAAATAGTTAAAATCATCATTGACGGCCAATAACATCTATGAGGATTTGACTGAGAATTTCAGTCATATTTGACATATTTGTAGATGTTGTCCTGTTGATAATTTTTGCCTTTTAAAGTTTCGTTCTGTTTATTATAGTTTTCAGGATAATAGGCAAACATGCAAAAATATGTTAAACAATCACCTAAAGGACAATAACTCCTATCAGGAGTTGACTGACAATTCGATTGATGTTGACTTATTTGTAGATCTTGTCTTACTGATCATTTTTTGCTATTCAAATTTTCCGTGTATCGATCATAGCTTACCAGATTATAGGTAAAAACACAAAAATTTGGTAAATTGTCATTAAAGGGCAATAACTCCAAAACTAATTGACTGACCTTTTGACTTTTTTGTTGTTGTTGTCTTGCTGATCATTTTTGCTTTTCAAATTTTCCGTCCATCTATCATAGTTTACCAGATAATAGGTAAAAACACAAAAATTTGGTAAATTGTCATTAAAGGGCAATAACTTCAAAACTAATCGACTGACCTTTTGACTTTTTTGCTGATCTTGTCTTGCTGATCATTTTTGCTATTCAAATTTTCTGTCTATCTATCATAGTTTACCAGATATAGGTAAAAACACAAAAATTTGGTAAATTGTCATTAAAGGGCAATAACTCCAAAAATAGTCGACTGGTCATTTGACTTTTTAGTTGATCTTATCTTGCTGATCATTTTTGCTCTTTAAATTATCTCTCCATCTTTTACAGTTTTCAAGAAAATAGGCTAACATGTAAAAAAGGTAAAATTTATCATTCAAGAGCAATAACTCCTGTAAGAAATTGTTCCAGTTTTGATTTAACAGACAGTAGTAGGTGGATCTCATCCTTCTTAACAAATCTACCTATATCAGATTTCCACTATCCACAGCTGTTGTCAAGATACCGTAGAAAGGCTTGTATAGTTCGCACCGGTACATAGTCCGCACCCCCTTCTCCCCATGAAATTTTAGGTAAAAAAACTTTTTGTAACTGTTAGAAAAGGTCTAATGAAACTCCGGTAATTTCAAATCCTGTGCGGTCGTTTGCGGTATTTTCTTGGAAAAACCTGTTTTCCATCATCAAACAGAAGCTCAAACTGCTTGTAAATGATTCTAGAACGCTTCATGATTGTTAAAATAAGTTTAATTCACTTAAAAAACAATTTAGAAACTTGTGAATGTTTAAACAGGAAGTTTAAAAAGCACGTGTAAAAGAAGAAATTAACCGGTGAGAGTCGAAATCCGTACATAACAGATATCACTATAATACGAATTTGAAAGTAAAACAGTTCCATCCTTTTGTAAAACAGTCTTTAATATATCTATCACATTAATGTTTGAAGGGTCTTAAGCTAATACAAATCATATTAGTCAGTACGAAACACTAAAACGGAACGAACAATAACCGATTACATTTTGAAGTTTACAAATTCTAAGTTGGTTTACGGTTGTCTTTTTCCCTATGTTTGTATCGTTTCAATCAAGCAGATACCAGTTTATTTCAACCAATGCATTGAAAAGAAACGAGAAATTTGTAATGAAAGGTTTAGTTTTTATATTTATCAGTATTAATTTGATATTGAATAGAAATAACTTATTAATATGGATGAGTTAAAATTATTAGTTTGAAAAATGATAAGAGCGCCCTCTACAATATAAATAACAAAGATGGCGGAACGTAAACAAACCACCTCGCCCACGAAATTGAAATTTTTCTCTTATTTCTTGCTTATTGTACTCTATAGTCCGCACCCCGTCTGGAAGGTCCAATTTTGGAGAATAAAACCGCGGACTATACAAGCCTTTCTACGGTAAGAAACAAAACTTTCATTTTACCCCTATATTCCATTTTTTAACCATGTTAGTTAGTATTTGGGATCAACCACATCATTTCAAAACTATAAACCACAATAATGAGTGTGGCCAAGTTTGGTTCCAATTGGCCCTGTGGTTTCAGTTGTGAAGAGTTTTGTAAAATTTGACAAATGACGGAAGATGGACGCCTGGTGATGAGAATAACTCACTTGACCATTCAGAAAAAAACAATGAACAATCCAAAAATCTGATTGGATAATTTATTAAAAGTTCATATTGGTGACAATCCAATATAATTACGTCTCTTACTGAATTTAAATACACAAAAAAAGAGTACTACCAGATTCAAAATTGCAGAGTATGAAATACACTATACTTTTCCCTCGTTTTGCTTATGCTTTATTGGGTCAACTTTGATTCTGAACTTTGGCGGCTATAATAGGTACAATATTTGTCCATCATATATTTGACAGCAAATGCCTTACATATTTTATTTTACTTATTATATAAATGTTTCATATATCCAACAAATCCAATAACAACAAGTTATAAACAAAATTTACACATAGGAACAAACCATTTAAAATCGAAATGACTGAAAATTTAGGTAGTGATACAATTAAAACATGCATTTTATTGCCTTGAATATCAAGATAATGTCACATTCTTTTAAGCCTATGCACAACATTTTTTGTTAGACCAAAAACTTAAAAATAGCTTTTCCAAATTTCATGTAACAAATGAAAGTTCTAGAATTGCTCCTTTTTACAGAGGCAAATGAAACCTACATCTTATAATTTTACAGAGATTTCTAAATATGAATTAAATTCTTTAAATTATGAAATCAATTTATTAATATATTGACATGTGATAAATGACTAAAATTTATGAAGAATGTATTAATACTACTCAGATAATTCTTTTTTAAATTTTTGTTGTTAAAATTTAATAATCATGATAATCAGATCAGAACTCTTGTGTTCGTCTATTTATTTATTTACCTATTCAATTTTATAATTTACTGAATACTGAAATTTTTGTTCTCTGAAGTTCTTCTTCCATTTTTTTTCAGACAGATATTTAAATTTCATATCATACTTAATTTGATACTAAATGCATATGCACATATACATATGAAGGTAAAATAAATAATGCCACGACCAGCTAGCTCTCATACAGTTAATTAACATACAAAATATCACAGTATATCAAACTGTATACAGTTCAGGATTCATTCAGAGCTTCACTCACACAACCACACACATCCACAAATACATGATCTACTATAAATCTTTCAGTGCTGCTAATTGTTTCTCTATATCATCGTCTGTGACTCTTGATTTGGAAGATTCTCCTAATTTTCCTCTGTGTGCAGAAGGTGCATCTACCATCTAAACAAGAATAAAATGAAAAATTTCAATGAGAGACAAATTCTGCATAATATTTATTGAGGAAGAGAGTCAAAAGATACCAAATGGAGATTCAAACTTCGAAAATGAACTGACAATGCCATGGCAAAAAAGACCAAAAAAAGATCAAAAGACTAACAATAGTATGTACAGAACACAAAATAGAAAACTAAAGATCGAGTAAAATTAGGTTATTTCAACTTGAAATCTGAGCATATTAAATTATGCTCTGAAAATTTGAATGATATATCATTAATTAAAATGTTAGGAATTTGAGGTATTTTGACTCCCTGCTATCATTAAGTGCTTTCACTCTCAATTCAATCTCAAGTTTATAATGAGAGTATCATGCATCATACATCATTATTTCAGTAGATGTTCCATTTAAATTGGTTTCAGAAACTAATCAATATAAAAAATAAAAGAACAGAATTCCAATGTCCCCCTGCGTTGCACATATCTTATCTGTCCAAGGTGAATAACTTAAAAAAAAATTTGTTGTTTGTTTTTTTAAAACTTTTTAACATTATCTTAAGAGAGTTGAAGACTTGAGAGCAATTTCTGATATATTTAATATTTTCAAGGGGCATAACTAATTAAAAATATTTGATCAGCAATTATTTTCGAAATTGTCAATGACATTGCTGATATTAACCTTTGATATGAATTTGATAAAAATCTGGCAAAAATTGTACATGTGAGAGCGCATACAATGCAAATTTCCATATCCTTAATATTTCAAAGGGCATAACTATTTTAATAAAAGAACAGAGTTCCAATGTCCCCCCTGTTGCACATATTTTATCTATTTAATGATTAAGGGCAATAAGTAATAAATACACTTTTTTTTGTTCTTTAAAACTGTTGATAAATATCTTAGAGAAATGAATATGAACTAGTTGCGCAGGGGACAATAAGTTGCCCACACCATCTTTTGAGTCGAAGAAGCATTTAGTGCAAACATATTTATGCCCATTTTTCTAGTGAAGTAAAAGAAAACAGGCAATGTAGGTTTCTTCTAGAGATGAACAAATAATATCTTTTTTGTAACACACATAATTTTCAATAAAGGAATTAACCTGCTGATTTAAGAGACAGTTGATTCAATTTCACATACCATCAAAATAGAGGCACATATTTCATTTTTATGCCCCAACCTCGGTGGAGGGGGCATTAAGTTTTACCCTTGTCTGTCTGTATGTCCATTCGTATGTCCAAAATTAATTTCTGTTCCATAACTTTTGTTTGCCTCAACCAAATGTTATAAAACTTAATACTTATTACCAACAAACACAGATCAAGTTTGAATTTGGATGGTGTTGTTTTCAACGTTTTTGAGTAATGTCCCTTTATAATTTAATAAATATTTCATTTCATACCTTTCCTGAGATTTCAATACCAATTTCATCCAGAACCTGTGATACAACTGCATCTTCTTCCTCTTCATCTCCTGATTCTGTTAGAATATCATCTAAGGTGTCATTTACTGCAAAACAAAAAGAAGAAATTACATTCTATCAAATACTAAATAATAAATTTAAAAGTCAGTCAGGATATTCATCTTATGTGTCAAATACTGAAAAAAATCATAAAGGGTTCTGCAGAATCCTGAGTATAGCCTGCTATTCAGAGTAATAGTGTAATGTTGAATGCCAAAAACTAAGTCCTTTTATTGGTAAAATACAGAAAAAATATTTAAAGAATCTAATATATCATGTTCCTTGACAAAATAATATTTATGTATACAAAATTTAATACCAAACTATATGTAAATGTAAACTGCAAACAAGTTTATTTAGTTTCAGTAAATAACTAATAAATGAAAAAAATGTATTTTCAAAATTTTGCTTTCTCATAAAAAATAAAACTTTTACCAAAGTTTCATATAATCTAAGAAAGTATGAAAAAGTTATTGATGTCTACAAAACTTTAACCCTGACTGTATCAATTTTAACTGCAAAACAGTCCATTGATAAGAATTTTTAGATCTTTTGTTCATAAACAAGCTTCTGTCCAAAATTCTTAAAATTCCATAAAGATTTAATAAAGTTATAGGTGTCTGAAAACTTTAACCCTTGAATCTCTCATGGTGTTAACTGCAAATAAAAATTAGGTCCATTCATCAGTAAAATATGGAAAAATAAAAAAAATAAATATTGTCAAACTTTTGCTCTCTGTCTTTTGATCTTAAAAAGCTTCTATCCAAGTTTCGTAAATACCATTAAGAAATTACAACTTACACAGTTATTCAAGTTTAAAAAAACTTTTTTTTTTAAATCTTTCAGAAGAATGTGTGATTAACTTGAAAATATCAAATCGATAATCAACCTTCTCTTACTGTTGTTAAACATTTATATTGCTGTAAATCATAAAGTAACTCACCCATTTCTTCTGTCATTCCCATTTTAGCGTTCTCTCTTTCAAAGTCTTGCATTGTCTTTGCCATCTTCACTGGATCCATAACTTTGTTCATTTGTTGCATTGTCTGTAAAATATAATTTTATGCATTATGAAATTAAAATTTTTCTATTAATTTGATTAAACAATTACTAAATGATCAACAAGCAGACAGAAAAACAAATATGTGATCTTGGGTTCACAGAAAAACCAAAAACAACAAAAAGACAACAATAATAATATAGCAAAAAAGATAGGTTTTTACCAGAAATCTGCAATTTTCATGCATTAAAGATCAAATTGGCAATGATCAATATGATTCAAATGAATTCTATCCTGATTTTCAATAACTCAATATATTTATGAATAATACCTAAAAAGATTAGCTAGAATAAAATACTGGACAGAAAAACAGACCACATTATCCAACAACAACATTATGACTCCCTTTAAATTCATGAGATCCTACATGTATGAAACTTACAACAAAATATCAGAATAAATCTGGAGTTATTTCCCTTAATATAATTTATTTTGTTGCATGTTGGTTAAAGATGAATTTTCAATATAGCAAATGGTTCAATAATGCAGTTGGATACATAAACAAAAAATATGTACCAAGATCAGACAATTTAACATTTAAAATAAACTGTTGACACAGAGATATGTGTCGCCTGTTGCAGAAAATTAAAGAAAAAGAAAATCTGATGGACAGCAACATTGCTAATAAGCTAATAAGTTGATAGTCCATGACCTAGGTGACAGGGCCTTGAAATAGTTATTAAACTGTTTATAGAAAATATCATTGATCTATCACAAGTAGTTCCCATCAAAGTGACTTGAGCAGAAAACTTAACAATTGTTAATTCCTCCGCCACTGAAAAAGTAACACCTGTCTCGCTTTCCACAATTTTCGTCACACATTTATGTCACAGGTGAGACAAAAATGTTGGGATTGCAATGAGTGAACCTTGTGTTGCAGACAATGAAGCAGAACTGTTTATAATTGAAGCCATTCTGGTCAAGGGTCAATTGAAATAAAAAAATTTATATTTCTGCTTTCAAAACCTTAATGGCCTTAATTATTTTTATATTTGTACTATGCCTATGTGTTATGCCTAATTGTGCATTCATATGTCACAGAAACAGTGAATCAAATGAAGCACTTCTGCCATTTGTATCTATCTTACCTTTGTTGTAGTTCCCATGGCACCAGCCATCTTCATATTCGAATGCATTAACTGAAATAAAACATTTAAATGATGTATAGTGCTTCAGATACATATATCATTGTTAGTCTAGCAATGAAAGGTCTAATACATTTTTTTTATCAATCTAATTTTGTTTTAACTACGTAAATTGGAAAACAAACTCAGGTGTCATTAACTATGACTACTCTCAGATCTGTACTTTGTGTCTTTTTTGTTGTGAGGGATATATAAATACCCTGCCACGTCAGGTCTGTGTTTATCGCTTTGTATTGATCTGATGAGTTAAGCCCTATTCAACATGTTCAACTGATTTTTTTAGTTTGTTCTCATGTTGTACTGTTACACTATTGTCCAATGTTAGGAGGAGGGTTAGCGCCTTCAAAACATGTTTAACCCCGCCATTCTATATGGCCCTGTCCGAAGTCAGGAGCCTGTAGTCCAGTGGATGTCGTTGGTTCATGTCCATCATATTTGTTTTTTGTAAATTGTTTTGTTATAAATTAGGCCGTTTGTTTCATATTTTTCATGTAGGGGCCTTTTATAGCCAACAATATGGTATGGGTTTTTCTCATTGTTGAAGGTGGTACAGTTACTTTCATCCACTTCATCTGAACTTTGCTGGATAGTTGTTTCATTAGCAATCATACCACATCTCCTTATTTTTATATCATATTCTTTGAATGTACATTGGATTTTTAACGTAAATCAAATTGTCATTCAGGGCCTTTTATAGCTGACTGTGGGGTATGGGCTTTGCTCATTGTTGAAGGCCGTACAGTGACCTATAGTTAATTTCTGTGTCATTTGGTCTCTTGTGGAGAGTTGTCTCATTGGCAATCATATCACATCTTCTTTTTTATATATGATTAAATAGAAAGTCTCTAAATGAATAAAAGTTTGTTTCTTCACTCACCTAACCATAAATTCAAGTTTTATACCCATTTAAAGAGTAACAATAGTTATAACTAGCCAAACAAATGACTGACCATGTGACAAAAAGATTGACCAATGTGTTTCTAAATTTAAAGATGTATTTATGGTTCACCTGGCAAATAAAATACTGACTTAAGAGCATACTCAAAGAGTTAAGCTGTAAGCACAGTGCTTACTTATGCTTTATCATAATTATTACCTTCTGTTGGTTGCCTATAGCTCCTACTTTGCTGCCCATTGAAAAACTTTTTGTCTTCTGTTTCCTCAAATTTACCAATTGTTTTGCTAGAACTACACATGCCTAAAATAAAATAGAGAATTCAGTTAGACACCTGTGTTTACTGTCATATAATCTTTCCTGCCAGACGAATATCTTGTGCAGACAACAAAATTTGTGTTGGTTATTTTTAACATTCTATAATATATAATGTGAGCAATGTCAATTTCATTCTATGATTACTCAAGCTTCAAGTACAATATTGTTGATCACTGAGATATAAATTACTTACGTTATTTCACCATTAAAATGTCCTTTTAAAAACCAAATAACCTTTTGTTTCATTAAATTTTTTTATAATAAGGAATTTACCTAAATCATAAGTCCCTATGAAAGTCAAGAGAATAAGGAAATGCCTGTACCAAGTCAGGAATATGACAGTAGTTTTCCAATCGTTTGAAGTGTTTGAGCTTTTGATTTTACCATTGATAAGGGATTCCTGTTTAGAATTTTCATTGGAGTTCGGTATTTTAATTATTTTATTTTTTTCCAATTAATTTTCAAATTAAAATCGTCTCTATCAATTTAGAAAGGAAAATCTTTAGTTTCCTTGTGTAACACTGTACAAGTTTTTGCCTCCCATATACTAGCAGCTACACTATAGATTTTGCCTTCCAAGTAATTTCAATAAAATCTGGGAATGGGAAATGTTCATGTGGGAAAGTGGTTTTTCTAACATCACTTTCCCTTGGAAAGTTGGAATAAGTGAAAAATCAAAGAGCATTACAAAAACATCACCATTTTGAAACAACATTGTAATATTATTGAAGAATATTGCATGCTGTTTTTCGTTTATTTTCTCAGGGAATATAAAGTTGACATATGTCTATATAATATTATAAGTAACCGGACCAAATTTTACCTGTTTATTATTCTGTTTAGCAGCTTTTTTAATTTCCATTTCCTGTGAAATATATGAGAAATATTTAGTCTACACTGTCATATCGGTATTAACATACACGAAGAAACATTAGCATTGTGTGGTATTGTTATTTTAAACTCATTAGACAAATATCAATAAATATGACGTAAAAATGTTGCCATTTTATTGGAAACGGACATTGGGGAACTGATATGATTGAGATTTTGTTCTTATGTTGTGCTGTTACATCACTGTCCTAGGTTATTAGAGGATTGGGTGTCAGCAAACATGCTTCACCCTGTCCCATGTCAGGAGCTAGTAATTCAGTGGTTGTGGTTTGTTGATGTATATATAATCATATATTTTTTTAAATAAATCAGGCTGTTGGTTTTCTCCTTTTAATTGTACTACATATGTGACCTTTAATAGCTTGCTCTGCACTATTGTTTTACTCATTGTTGAAGTTCGTACAATGACCTATAGTTGCTAACTTCTACACCATTTGATCTAGGGTGTAAACTCGTCTCATCATGCTCATTGGCAATCATACCACATCTTCTTATTTTATACAAGATATTATATTGAATAAGAAATTAAGTTGTAATAATGAACATAAATTGGATTTTTTTTTTACATTCACAAATTATCAAAGTAAGTGTAACAACATGAGCCCATTTTTTCTATGTAAAGTAAATAATAAACATGAGAAACAAAAAAAACTTATTTATATTATTCACATATTTCAAATATTAATTACAAACTTTTCAAATAGGAAGTTAGAAAAAAAAATCTTACTTATTCTTGTTTTCTAGTAGAAATATGATCATAATTAGATTATATTAATCTAAACTAGAGAATTGTAGTAAAGGGTTAATCATAAATTTATTTGTTTTTCAATTGGGTAATGAAAAGCAAATTAGTAGATTAAACATGTTAACATGGTTAAATACAAAAACAATTCATGGTTTCAAGGTAATTTTTCTTATTCAAATATAAGCAAATATTTGATAAACTAATTACAAGTTTCTTTTCTTCAAGTTCCAGCTTATGTCTGTCTCTTTCTAAATCTCTCTGAGTTTTTCTTAGAACTCTGTCATTCTGTTTTATTGATTCTAAAAGAATAAGATTTAAATATATATATGTCTTATGTATGTGCATAATTTATATAGGATAAATTCAAAAGCAACAAAGTGTTCACATCCAATCTTTTGTGGTAATATTCTTTACAAAGCACAAAAATGTCAGTATTCACCTCAAAAGCTAACAAAACCTTTAAACAGACTTATTAAGAAGGGATATAGTTACGATACTGTTGTCAGGTCATTTAAGATTGCATATTTTGGCTTTAATATTGATTCACTTATAGGTGTAACACCACTAATTCGGCCCGGCCAGAAAGCACATACCAGAAAGTAGTACATATTTAACACAAAATAGTTCCTACGCATGAGTGTAACTTTCAAAATATGTAGAATATTTAGGTATTGTTGGTATCAAATGAAAGCTGAATGACTGGTGGTCATTGTAGAACACTTTTTGACTTATAATTTTGAATATTAAAAAAACTGCACCAAATTTTATAAAGAGGGTACTTTTTGCCTGTATGTCAGATCTGAAGTACCTGTTTTGGTACATCCAAAGTTTCGGGAACCAGTTCTTTCTTATATGCCATTAAAGGTATGTTGATTTTTCCAGTACAAGACACCATAAAGTGTTGCTTTGACATGCAATGATTGTCACTTTATTTGAACTTGAAACAAAAGAGCTGTGTCTGCTTGAAATTGAGGAATTTAACATAGAAAGCAATGGGGCCATGAATTAGTGGTGTACTTCCTATTACAGAGAATCATCAGAAATTCAATTTTTAGAAGTTGTACCTATTCCAATGAAAATAAGTCATATTTGATGTAAGTAAACATGTTTAATCATCTTTTTTGGACGAACAATTCTGTTTATGGGAAATTTCAGCTCTTAAATTGACATAATCAGGTATTTTAGCCTTTTATGGTCACACAACATGCATGCAGTTAAGACTTGACTCCAAATTCTTATTTTGGCATTATTTGGGATTGCAATCAATAAAACATGTATATAATGACTTCTTTATAGTAAAAAAATAGCTCTTGGTCAAATAATCCTATGATTTTTCAAGTTTTATTGGTTTTCTTATGATAGCCTTTTACAATCTAGCCAATTGGTATATACTCATATAAGAATTCCAAAATCTCACTGTACATGCAATTTTGAACCAGTTTAGTAAGTTAACCAGCTGATAAATATATAAATTGCTCTTTATAATCTATGTTGTACCACAGAAGTATGGTTTATACCAAAAATGTCCCTTTTCCAATTTGAAGAAAAAAGGGGGGACAATTTTCTCAATTATGTCTTAGGTTTGGTCTAAAATATTTTTATTAAATGAACAAACTCTGGTGAAATATGACTATTGGTAAGCACAATGTTTTCCTAACAGAAATTATTAAATACAACAATGATATTGAGAATAAAATAAGTATATTGGCCATTTATAATATCCATATGCAGTTTTCTTTGAATAACCTATATGTTCCTACCAGTCCAATTTGAGCTTAAAATTAGTAAAATAGTATTTTGACTTAAGCTTTATGTGTTTTTTATTGCTTGAAATAGATCATAGAATGAAATAAAGTGATGCTGAAGTCAGTATAGCAAGTTTGGTTCTGTTATAGGTGTAACACCACTAATTCGGCCCGGCCAGAAAGCACATACCAGAAAGTAGTACATATTTAACACAAAATAGTTCCTACGCATGAGTGTAACTTTCAAAATATGTAGAATATTTAGGTATTGTTGGTATCAAATGAAAGCTGAATGACTGGTGGTCATTGTAGAACACTTTTTGACTTATAATTTTGAATATTAAAAAAACTGCACCAAATTTTATAAAGAGGGTACTTTTTGCCTGTATGTCAGATCTGAAGTACCTGTTTTGGTACATCCAAAGTTTCGGGAACCAGTTCTTTCTTATATGCCATTAAAGGTATGTTGATTTTTCCAGTACAAGACACCATAAAGTGTTGCTTTGACATGCAATGATTGTCACTTTATTTGAACTTGAAACAAAAGAGCTGTGTCTGCTTGAAATTGAGGAATTTAACATAGAAAGCAATGGGGCCATGAATTAGTGGTGTACTTCCTTATAGGGTCTTTGCATCGGAATTAAACATATTTATTCTAAAACCAGTTGTTGGCATGACACGGGTTATGTTCTTCTCATATATTTTATGATGGTATAATACTAAACCCCTAACAGGAGGGATTGTGCCTGATATTCATATGATGAAGACTTAATCTTTCAATCAGTTTAATTGAGGTCTGGAGCTGGCATGTCAGTAACTGCTAGTAGTTTGTTGTTATTTATGTATTATTGTCATTTTGTTTATTTTCTTTTGTTTCCTATTCCGACATCGGAGTCGGACTTCTCTTAAACTGAGTTTTACTGTGCGAACTGTTGTACATTTGTTTTTTCTACATTGGCTAGAGGTATAGGGGGAGGGTTCAGATCTCAAAAAACATGTTTAACCCCGCCGCATTTTTGTGCCTGTCCCAAGTCAGGAGCCTCTGGCCTTTGTTAGTCTTATATCATTTTTAATTTTAGTTTCTTGTGTATAATTTGGAGTTTAGTATGACGTCCATTATCACTGAACTAGTATACATATTTGTTTAGGGGCCAGCTGAAGGACGCCTCCCGGTGCGGGAGTTTCTCGCTGCATTGAAGACCCGTTGGTGGCCTTCGGCTGTTGTCTGCTCTATGGTTGGGTTGTTGTCTCTTTGACACATTCCCCATTTCCATTCTCAATTTTATGTACTACATTACAGATGCATGTTTTCTTTTTCTACATGTATTCCTATTGAGTACATATATGCATTTGACATGTTTGACAGATCCATTGGTGGTCATGGGCTGTTTTTCTGCTCTCTAGTCGGGTTGTTGTCTCTTTGATATATTCCCTGTTTCCATTCTCTATTCTATAACCATGATAACATACATATGGTAGTCTGAGTACTCCAAATATAAATATTAAAAGGTGATAGTGAATTCCATTATCATGATTATCAAACTAACTTGGAATGCAAATTATTTTTAATGGAGGCCATTAATATTACTATTGTACATGTACTACATGTACTACATGTATCTTGTGTATGAAAAACTTCTATGTACAAATCAAGATAATAGAAATTTGTTAAAAAGCTGAATACAAACCTCTTTGTGATAAACTGTTGACACAGAGATATGTCTCACCGATAGAGAAATGTAAATGTTGAAATTAAAAAGCAATACTTTGAAATGTAAAATATGAAAAATATTCAAAGTCAATGATTGACAATGAGCCATAAGGTCTAGGACCAAATACTTTCCGTGGAAAGAAGATATGCCAATTCCGATACAAAAGCATACCAAAAATCATTCCCTTTTAACTGTCTTATTCACAAACACTAATACGAAGATGAGTCCTGACTCCTGAGTAACAGTAGAAAAATCAATATTCTAATATTAACATGAATAAACTCTAAATCGTTAACTGTTTTTTCAGCCTTTCTCATATACACTGATATATATATGTACAAAAAACCTTTCGGTATCATTTCCAAGGTTGGGCAGTAAACACCACCATCAATATTTACCAGTGGTATTTAACAAGCTGGTCAATTGTCATATTCATGGTTCTTTTGACAGCCTTTCAACATAACTCTATAGCTATATGTACATTGTAGTATAACATTGGTTGATGGGGGGAATTATTTTAACTTTAATTATGAATGATATTGGCATCTTTAAGCAACTATTAACATAAATAATGACCAATTTAGTTCTTAGCCAATAGGGATAATGATATTGCATACTTTAGGTATATACATGTACATGTATAAAATTGCTTAATCAATTATTTCAACATGTATAAAACAAGATATATTTTCTTAAAAGGTTGAATTTTTACAGGTACATTATATTAAAATAGAATTACAAGTGATGGGATTATCAGAGCATCACCTACATGTATTATATGGCTTACAGTTGTCAACAGTTTAATTACTATAACTGTCCCTTAACAAATGTTGACATGACAGGAAAAGAAGTTATCAAAGAAACATTATGTAAGACTGTTTAAAACAAAAAAATAATTCCTGACTATTCAACATGGCAAAAAATTTAAAAAAAGGAAATGGAAGTTTGAAGGCTCTAATACTCTAATAGCTGCTGTTTTTATCTTTTTCTTTAAAATTTTATTCTGATAATCACTGTTTCATGTTTTCTTCTTCTTCAGTTAAAGAAAACCATCAATATACAGTCAGGGATATAACTCTATAGGGTTATTACAGAAAACCATCAACATACTGATGTTTACTTTCTGGTGCATGCCTGGTAAATGTTTCAAATTTTATTAAATATTATCAGAATGTAGATTAGAAACTATGTTTTTCAAGTAGAATTTCAATTTATGCAAGAAAAGAGAACGTTAAGAAGAAGTCTAATTATATTGACTTGAAACCTTTCATATTTCCACATAGTCCGAGATTACTCTGACGTCCAACGGCTGTTTTGCCAGACAAGCTGGGGCCGTGGGACGTCAGAGCTTGTCCCATATCAAAAAGTGGATATTTGCCCGTCCAAAATAGATGTGCTGCTTCGTCGCTTCTTGTGCCAACGGACGGCCTTGGAATTATATAAATCGGGTATCAATTTGTTCATTTTTCATTTATCTCTTCATTTATGTAAGTTTCACCTACCTGCCACCCTTTATTTTCTAATATTTAAACAGTTTTCACAGTGACCCATCGATTCTGGCATTTTGACTTTCATTTTGAAAGATTGTCATGTGATCACGAGATAAAAGTACGGCACAATGGACTATGGGAAATGATGTATGCATATGACCCTAGGTCAATATGAATATGTATAATCTAACACCTTGCTCATTTACGATGCAAGCAATGTAAATATCCGAGAGCTTCCGAATGTTATCGTGGTTGGCACTAAATGCTTAATACCGATCTCCTGTAAAGGAGGTGAAAAATCGTGGTTGGCTACTAAATGTTAAATATATATCTCCTATAAAGGAGGTGAAAAAAGTATAAATATTTGCATATTTGAGTCTCGAGGTCGCAAAATCTCTCGTAACTTGACGTCCATTTGAAAATAAAAGTAAAAATGTCTGAATCGATGGGTCACTGTGAAAACTGTCTAGGTGAAACTTACATAAATGAAGAGATAAATGAAAAATGAACAAATTGATACCCGATTTATATAATTCCAAGGCCGTCCGTTGGCACCAGAAGCGACGAAGCAGCGCATCTATTTTGGACGGGCAAATATCCACTTTTTGATATTTTTGATATGGGACGAGCTCTGACGTCCCACGGCCCCAGCTTGTCTGGCAAAACAGCCGTTGGACGTCAGAGTAATCTCGGACTAATTTCCACACAGAACCTTTTCTTTGATTAAAATGAATTATTTTTTAAGATGGATAGCTTAACAGACTTTGTCCTCTCTCAAAAGTTACACCTGCCTCACATTACCTTTAGTCAATTCACCATGTTCAAGCCATATTATAAAAAGTTTTTCAGGGAATTATAAGACTAACATTTCCCAACAAGTTAAGGGGGCCAACCTGCCACAATATGAAAATTAAGATAAGCACAATGGGTAATTTCATAAAAGTTTTAGGGGCCCAACTCAAATTTCAGTAGCATTGGCTACTGGGCCCCTGCTTATCTTTTTCCCTGTTTTAAAATAATACAAACAAAAATAAATATGTACAGTTCTCCGTATCTCATCTTATTTTGACTTTCGAGTTTTAAATAAGCTTACGTTCAACAGTTGGTTTCTTTGAGAAGAACGACATTTTTTCAACTTCTTGTATGTTTACACCTTGATATGTATATTGTTTGGAAATGAGTCAACTTATTCTAATTTAAATAGCAAAATCAGTTTTCTTCACATGATTGTGACAAACCCGGAAGCAACAAACCAGAGCGACACCTAGAATGATTGGTTAAGATAAAAACCGATTGAATGACACTAACAATATGACAACCAAGGACGGACCTATATACAATGTAAATTGTACACGAGTGTTTGTCATATTTTTTAGCGTCAATTTGAACTATATATCTATTTCAGGTGAAATCGTATTTTTCTTAATTGAAGCTATTAATTTTCGCGTTTCACAAATCCCCTACAAGAAAAGATTAGCATATTTTTGCGACTGACACTTTTCGAATATTAAGGGTTGCACGGTATAAAGTACATAAAAAAAAGAACTTCAAGGACAATTCAAAACGGAAAGTCGTTTATCAAATGGCAATATCAAAAGCTCAAACACATTAAACGAATGGAAAACAACTGCCCGATGATTTTGCAGGCATTTCCTTATGTATAATGGTGGATTAAACCTGGTTTAAATAGCTAGCTAAACCTCTCACTTGTATGGCAGTCGCATAGCCATCCATTCTAATGACAACAATGTGTGAGCAAACCAAGCAGACATAACAGTTAAACTATCAAAAATTGGGGTACAGCAGTCCATTGTGTTATAATCTTAATCACTATAAAAACAAATAACTATTTCAACAAAGAAAAACAAAATAGGAAAATTAAGAAACCAGATGACACATGCATATAAATTACAGTCTAATTTGGAAGTGGCCGGCAGAATGGATCGGGACTGGCTCATGCATTTTCACCCTGATAAATGCAACATTCTCAGTGTAACACAAAAACGAAAACATTTAGACTTCACGTACAAATTGCACAATCACTCTCTCTCTCGAAAATTGACTTTACAAAATATTTAGGCCTAACTCTTCAATCAAACTTAAAATGGGATAAACATATTGATAACATGACATCAACAGCAAACCAGTCTCTTGGATTTATTCACAGAAACCTTAAAATAGTCCCACCTAAAGTTAAAGCTCATGCATTTAAAGCTCTTGTTCGACCAAAATTAGAGTACTGCTCAACTATTTGGGATCCACATCAAAAACAGCATATTTCACAAACTGAAAAAGTTCAGAGAAGAGAAGCCCGCTTCACATGCAACCGCTTCCATAACACCAGCTCAGTTACTGAAATGATGACAGACTTAAATTGGTACCCACTTGTAATTAGGCGTTTAAGATACAGACTTGTTTCTTCTACAAATTTATACACGAAATTGTTGGAGTCCCTACATTTAACCTTTTGATCCCACTATAGGCAATAGAACCATACATAGCAATCCGCACTCATTTAGGCAAATACAAACATATAAAGACAGTTATAAATATTCATTTTATCCACGTACAGTTATAGATTGGAATCATTTGCCACAACAAATAGTTTCATGCAATACAGTACAGGGGTTAAAGAGTATGATCTCAGAATCTGCTCTCATCCCTATTTTCTACCCTTAACTATTATTGTTATCAAATGTATATAGTTTTATCTATAAGTGCTATTTTCAAATGAACATATGTTATAATATTATGATTTTTTATTTTGTTTCTTTTTTCCTGGTTACCTTGTAAGTTATAAATCAGATTTTATAGTCGACGCCCGGCGAATAATCCTCAATAAATGAAGGATGGCTAGAAGCTTAATGAAGAAGAAAATGGCATATAGACAAAGTACATAAGCTAAAACGGAAGACAAGATTACAACAATAACCATAGCACAATAACACAATGGCGGGTATATTTCTCAAGAAAACTTTTTATATCTCTTGAAATAATCATAAACATGAACATTTGAAATTTGCTAATTTTTACCGTCTTCATTTTATTCAATGACATAAGTTCTACCTAAAAACCAATATCAAGACTTTATTTCATATTGGTCTCCTCTTTGAATCACTGTCTCTCGTTTTGTGAAGAACTTAATACTCTTTATAACAATAGGTTTCGTTAGTGGTGATAACATGAATGTTTGCCTGCTAAATCTTGGTACTGTTCAGTAAATATAAGGACATGTAGAAACCCAAATTTGCGAAATTTTGCACACATATTTCCATATAACATTCCCAAAATAGGCCACGAACGATAACTATGTCCAGCTTGCCAAAATGTGTTTATTTGACGTCAACGAACATTAAACATGGAAATGACAGTTTAGATATTTGATGTTTTCAACTAGACTGGAAACAATCTTTGATGATCGATAAAAAATAGAAAATAAAAATATCTTTGAATATTTTGAATATTTTGAATATTTTGAAAATTGTTTATATAAATTGTAAGTGAAATTATAGAGATCACCAAGTTTGTTAAACCTGAAAATTTTAGGACATTCAAAATATGAGAGAAAAAATAAAGTTAATTCCTTTTTTCATTTAATTTTGTTCTTCTCAACTTCCTATAGAACATTAACCGAATTGAATCAGCAAAATAATAATCATAGCCCAATCATTTTTAAGTGATAAATATTTATAATTAAAAAAAAAGACAGGATATATAAATTCAGGACAACAAAATCCCAACTAGAAATGTACCAACAAAAGCAAAGGAACATCGCTTATATTGCTGTTCTTCATTAATTCAAAGTCTAAGGAGGGCTTTTAGACGAACAAAAGCTGAACATATCAATACAAGTTCAAGGCATGCAATTTTTGGTTTCGTAGATTAAGTATACCGTTAAGGGATTGGTATTCCAGTGGGTACAAACTTCATGCTAATCGCAGGTGTGTTTATTTAATACAATGAATCACAGTTAATGTTTTAAATCCATAAATATTCAACGAAATACCCCTTGATACACATTTTCAATGATACCTGTATGCACGCAACATAATTCTGTTTAAACAGTCCATAATTTTTCTAATAATGAAAAATAAAATTTTTCTTTTTTAACTCACTCTTGTCATTTGCTTATGGAAATTCAACGTAATAATAATAACTTGCTTGTTCTTTCTTAGTCCCTGATGCTAAAGTAAAAGTAAACGAATTAAGGGGAGATAACAAATGACATGACTGTTCATTTATGGCGCGTATACTATTGTCGGGTATTGTATTATTGTTCAATTAATATCGCGGAATATTTAGCGTATGACTATGTTGTAAATATTGATTAGACTATGAACCAGAATAAAAATGTAGTAAGCAGACTGGATAGTCTTTTAAGGTTCCGTTGTCATGCCGAGTCAAAGCTAGATCCCAAATAATGTAACATCAATGTGAGCAGTTCCCCATAAAATATTAATAACAACATGAAAAAAAAAGACTACAACAAAGATTCATAAGACGGGACCAAGTTCCCGCATAATACAAACACCTAGCCTGATCTTAAATTTTGCAGGAATTTTTCATTTATTTTCTCAAGCAAACAGTCATTTAACATGTTTAATTAAGACTTCTTTTCTATTGATGATTTTTTTTTGTAATAGAGGACAGATTTTAGTATTTGTTTTAATCAGGAACTATATATTTGATGAACTATAATAGTAGGATACTGCAGTGTAGAAAACTCAACATTTTACACCGGTTCATTTCTAGATTTCATGTTTCTAAGAAGCGCATAATAGAATTTCCAGAATCCCCGTTTGCTTGATGCCACTTACATGACTAATGAAAGAAACATCTTCATGGTAATTTTGTGGACCTTCATTTATTGACTGCACATATCATAGTAGAACAATTAGATGAGCCTACAAAAGAGAGGCGAAAGATACCAAAGGTACATTCAAACTCATAAGTCGAAAAATAAACTGACAATATAACTTTTTTAATCAATGTGTTTTATGCAATTTAAGGGTCCACTATACGCACAGGTAAAGGGAATCGTGATGGTTCTTTGATGTTATACCGTATGTTTGAAGTGGACGCAAATACTTGCAACAATATATTTAACAGTAACTGTTATGAGTTCATGTGTTTGGTATAATGAAAATCTATGCTGAAAGGACCTTCAGATAAGCCAACCATTTAGAAAAAATCCGAAAGCGGTGGTCAAAATGCCCGTAACGATATCAGTGTCCTCATATTGTTCCGTTTAAAGAAAGGAATAAACATGTAAAGATATATCCAGACTTTTTAACTTTACAATGATTTTTCAAATATAGATGAATATACTATTCTTTATGAACTAATAAAGATGCTTATTTGCTTAAATTGTATACATATGTGTCTATATTATTAAAAGTAAATGCCTTCAAACTGGTATCCAACATAAAATATCTTTTTTCCTTGAATAAAATAAACTTGTGATAAGCTTTTAATCAATAGAAACTATTTACAGTGATTTAGTTGAATCATATGTTTTGGGAACACCTGTTGCATCTTACATTTATAAATCCTTGCAAAAATATATTAAATACTGTTAGTTGTCTTTTGGTGTTAGGTGGATGATTGTCACATTGGCAAATATACCACATATAATTATTATCAAATATCAGGATTTGTTATGATCACAGTGACTAATAGGTAAATACTATTGTTATTAATACTGTTTTAATGTTGTGCTTCCTAGCATGTTTACTTTTTGTTTCTTTATTTCATTATTGTGTCATTTCACATACAGGGTGTGGATGGGAATTAACAGAATAGAAAATGGTGGACATAAAATATGAAGAATAGAGAAAAATTGACCAAAAAAAGAAAAAAAAAGAATAGAGAATAATGAGGTGGTTAAATATAAAGAAAATATAATAATGGACAAAAAGTATAAAGAATAGAGAAAAAAAAAATGCATAAAAAATTAAAGAATACAGAAATGAAGGACCCCTCATCCATAACTTATCATTGTTAAGCCAATACTTTAGTTGTTCCTAACGTGTATTTATTTTGTTATGAATGACTACCATGCTATGAAATGGGCACTTTAATTGGCGCAATACCTGTGAGATCGGTTTCAGTGTCCTCGATATTAGTTATAGCTGAAAGATATTTTAGTTCGATGAAAAGTTTCAAACCGTTAGATCTACGCTCAACAATGGCTGATCACGTATTGGCTCAAATACAAGTTCGAAGAATTAATTAGAATTATCGACCCGACAACCATAGTTAGAATTAAACGCCTATGAGTCATAGTCACATTTCAGCTTTTCACCGACAAAATGTAGATATGCATCTGGCAACAGCTGTCACGTGACGTATCTTAAGCTTTTTTTTGTATATGATAGTCTTTGGATGGGTAAAAAGTACTTGCTGAAAACGTTTTTTAGTTGAAGTATATAAAAAAGATGTTAACTACATGTATAATGTTTTGACTATCCCTTTTGTTAAACCCAATGCACGAGATAAGGAGCCGCTTCTCCCCTAATCTCCATTAAGACACTGCCTTCACAGACCCTGTCGGAAGTTGTATGTGCAAATTTCTTGGTTATGCAACCTGTGTTAACAAAATGATGTAAAAGTAAGAATTGTTCTACATAACTTTTTTTTCTATTCAAACTCGACTTTAGCATCACTGGTTTAAATGATTTCCAGTAATGATCTTAGTTGAAAATTGCAAGAAATTTTAGTCGCTACAACAAAATGAGGTTTAAACGCTAAAAAAATGATCTATTTTTTAATCTAGGTTAATATTTTATTCTTTCGGAATAAATATAGACATATGTCTGGCAAAATTGTATATGTGTGCCTATAAAAGTAAATTATTTTGATATACTTCACTTAAACTATTTATTGCTTAAAACGACAATCTTTTCCATGTAAGAAATATTAACATATGCTAAGCTTTTTATCAATAGATTATATGCAGCTAAACATGTCTTGGGAACACCTGTGACATTTTCCATTCACAAACCGTTGCAAACATATATTTGATAATACATTGTATGTTTGTAGACAAAAGAGAACTATCTCACCCTGAAATCATTTCAAAGCAAGAGTCTGCCATAATATATATGAGGTAAAATTTATAAGATTACGTTTATTTTTATTTTAACATAAGTTTAAGTTTCTTTATTTTGAACCAAATATTGAAGTAGATGTTTATGTTTCTCTTAACATTATTCATTCTTTGTTGTCGAAAGATATTTCTAAAATAACTTGAGTTTTTGTTGTACATTATGGCAACAGAGATCGGTTAAAAAATGACAAACCAAGGTTACAAAGGGAGAAAAGGGAATTGCATGAACTCCAAAAGGAACGATCGAGACCACAAGCATCGACGGGAAAAGCGTCTTGTGTTATACATATATATTTCCAGACCTATCCTATATACTGTGCTATTGCAAATTTTCTCTTTTTTATTATTCTGCATGGCTTTCCCATTATTCTCTCTTTAGTAAACCCCATCCAGAACCTCATACAGAGTGGGTTAATATAATTATACTTATCTAAGACAAAAGGAGATGAGCTAGCACATGTTCATTGTCCTCTTATTAACCCAGACAAAGGAAAATGACATCGTAGCATTGTCTTAATGATTAAAATATAGGGGATACTATATCTTATCTTATACAACCATACAACAAAGGGTCATGACCTGAAGTCCATTCTCTATTAATTCCTGTACATGGAGGTGAGCTCTGCTAATAGTGTTCTACATTGGTATATACATGGGTAATATGAGGAGGAGGTTTAACATGTTCATCAATATCATATTAAGGGGACTGTTTTTTTTAAAACATATTTTCATATTCCAGTAAAAAGGATTTCCTACTACTTTCAGACTATTTATTGTCGCCTATTTAACCTTTTTACAAACCCGTTTCTTAAAGGATAGACCATGCTATGCTCCCATGTGACTACTTTTTCGATTCCTGATTATAGGGTAGTAGTTATGATAATCATATTTTCCAGACATCTCATACTATTCTCATACTATACATTCCGTATCAACTTCACAAATAATACATGACGGTCTTGAAGTATAGATTCTAGATACTGACGTTGTTCATTAACATAGTTGCGTGTTATAGTGTTCTTTTAATTGTCTTTGTTAATTATCAACCTTTACTGTTTAGTCCATTTTTTGTAATACCCTTTTGGCGTGGCTCGGTACTTATGCATCCCGTCATTGTGTTAGTGTGATGTGGTCATTTTTTGTATTCTTGTCTCTCATGTTTGCTTATATGCTTTGTCTTTATGCCATTTGTTTTTATTTGTTGACATATTTGTTTGTTTTTATAGTGATTAAGATTATTACACAATTATAATGACTGCTGTTCCCCTATTTTTGATATTTTTACCTATTATGTCTGTTTGTTTTGTGCACACATTGTTGTCAATATAATGAAATTTTATGTGTGTGAGCTTTACCTAGCGATAAAACCAGGTTTAATTAATCCACCGTTTTCTACATAAGAAAATGGTTTAACAAGTCAGGAATATGACAGTTGTTTTCCATTTGTTAAATGTGTTTGAGCTTTTGCTTTTTCCATTTGATAAGGGCCTTTCCGATTTGAATTTTCCCTGGAGGTATTTTTGTTATTTTATTTTTTTCTATTGATGACAATCTTTTGAATTTTTGGCGGTTTAATCACAAGTGTAAAATTGTCATGTACATGTATTGCCCATGTTGTACTGTACCACAACTGTCCCAGGTTAGGTGGAGGGTTAGGATCCCGCTAACATGTTTATCCCTGACACATTCTGTATTTTCCTGTCCCAAGTCAGGAGCCTGTTATTCAGTGGTTGTCGTTTGTTGCTGTGTAATATATTCGTTTTTCGTTCATTTACTAAATAGACCGTTACTTTTCTCATTTGAATTATTTTGAACATGTCATTTCGGGGCTTTTTATATCTGACTATGTGGTATGGGCTTTGCTCATTGTTGAAGGCTGTACGGTGACCTATAGTTGTTAATTTCTTTGTCATTTGGTCTCTTGTGGAGAGTTGTCTCCGTTGCAATCATTCCATATCGTTTTTTTTTTTATATAAATCTGAATAAATGATATGCAAATGATGTTTACGTTTTGCCTATTCACTGCTCATCTATTTTTTATCATCTGTAGCAAATAGTCCTGGTGTGAAATACATTCAGCACTGGTTGTAACTTTTGTTTACATGTGTAAGCGATGGAATATATAATATGCATATTACACTGTTTGATCAATAATCACTTTATAAGTCAAACTAATGCAGACAGCTGCACATACCTCATTCACTTCCTTTGCACATTACATTTTATTAATCAAAATCAACATGATCAAGCAAGTAACTGCGAGTACTCTCAAATAGTACTTTCGTGTTGATTTGACCTGTTGACACAATTTGTAATGCATTTTTGTTATTCAATTGTTGCTTGTTTTATGTTATATCTCTTTTCACTATTTTTTTTAGATGTACCACCTTTGACAAGTGTGTAGTATTACGATAAATTCACTTTGTTCTCGAACTATGAACAACAAATTTATTCTGTAAAAAAGTATTTCCGTACTCATAACAAAGAAATTATAATATCTAAAGTAACATGCAAAGCGATTTTGTCCTAGGTTATAGTTTTTTGACATATTGTATTTATATTGTGTCATAGATCAAATTTATTCTTTCAGTGTATGTTTACTTGTTTTCGTTAATATTTCTTTATGATCGAGTTAAGCCATTTCAATTGCTATTTTATAGTTTTTCATTCTATGTTGTAATATTATACTACTGTTTCGGGTTAGGGTGAAGGTTGGCATTTGTTTGCACATATCCTAAGTCAGGAACCTGTTGTTCAGTGGTTGTCGTTTATGGATGTGGTTCATAAGGGTTTTTTGTTTCTCGTTCTTTTTAAGATTATACCGTTGGTTTTCCTGTTTTAATTGCTTTACACTTAGTCTAGTCATTTTGGGTTCCATTACAGCTTGCTGTTCGGTGTGAACCAAGTCTCCGTGTTGAATGAAGATCGTACTTTGACCTATAATGGTTTACTTATTATAAATTGTGACTTGGATGGTGAGTTGTCTCATTAGAACTCATACCACATCTTCTTATATCAATGTACCCTAAGTCACTTACAAAATTTAAAATAATGGCTCAATTTTAAATTGCATGGCATTGGTAGTACCAAGGCTGGTACATTTTACAATCATTTATAAAACATATACAGTTTTAGCCTTATATCAGAAGAAAATAGAATAACTGATTACATATGCAAATCAATTTAGTATGTACATTTATTTTCCTTTTCACGTGTTTATAAAAACTTAGAACAATGTACTTCCCTAGATCATCTAAAATAAAGTCTTTTTCGAAAAGATTTTTCAGTTGACATAATTATGTTTTCCAATTTTTATTGTTTTTAGAATGAAGCTATATCCATATGCATATTCCACGGATCTGACCTTCAGAAGAAAAGCGTAGTGGCGATGGCAGCACTTTCAGATGGAGAAAAACACTACTTTATTATCGAGTGTCTGGTGAAAGGAATTTCACCATTAGTTGTGCGTGAAATATTTGACAGAGAATTTCACCCTGTATGTTTAAAAAATTCACTAAGTAAGGAAAGGAAAAAGATCCAACAGCTGAAAAATAAAAGAGTTTTGAACCGGACACAAATGGATCTGCTTTATCCAATAGGGTGTAGGTATTTGTTTTGTTAAACAATAAAGTAATAGAATCATCTAATATTATTATATGTTTAAAAGGACCGTTGTATTATGTCATCACTGTGTCAGAATTTGGATACGAATATCACAGAACTAAGGTAAAGTACATTTTGAAAAATGGAAAGACAAATTCTTAAAAATTAGAGTATTTTTTACAAAGAATTTCATCCTTCATGCTTTTGAGAGTCAATCAAAAAGAATTTCAAAGATCAACCAGCCAATAAAAAAGGGATGTTTGAACAAGACACAAATGAATCTTCTTTATCCAAGAGATTGTTATATTTTTTTTCTTTGAATACCAGTAACAAACAAAAATAAAAAGATGTGGTACATGTATGATTGAGACAACTCTACAATTTGTGCCACGAATCAAATCATAGTGACAATACCTGATAGAGCAGCACTCTTGGCAATATCATGGGGGCAAATTTTTATTGGCAGTGGAAATCAGAGTACCCGAAAGGAATCACTGACCTTTGATAATACAACTGGCAATCTAGGTTATTTAAAAGAGGAAATGAAATCACAATTGAATATTTCGGCACAATGAATGGCTTTGTTATTGTCAATTCTTTTTCAAAATATAATAGAATAAGATGAGTTTTGAATGTTAGAAGAGCTAACTCATACATGTAAGCCGATGTTTTCTTCTGTTACAAACACAAAATTCAATCTAATTAAGTAGATGTGAATGCCTTTTTTTGTCATCCAAAAAACATCCAAGAAGGAAGACCTGAATTTGTATTTTTAAATTACAATACTGGCCCTTAACCTTAATTACCACTCTTAGCTTTTCGTGTATAAATATAGTCTTTAGTGTGGACATTGTGTAAATTACACTATACTTGCAAATGTTTACCTCATTCACAATTTATTTTTTATTCCTTATGCATACAAGCAGTAAACAGATGTTTGACCTTGAAATGGTTTAGGGTCATGAATATATACAGGTAAATTTGTGATTTGGTCCAATATTTGTGTAAATATTTGCACATACATCTCATTGTTTGTTGTGCCCTGACCTTCCTAGAATCACTTTTACTCCACTCTGTTTAAAAAAAATGGAGTGACCTGATCTCAGATTTAAAGAAATGACGTGACCTGAACTCATACACTATTTGTAGGAATACACGTAGAAGCATATTGTTACAAAACATAGCAATCGTCTGTTTTCACTTAACTTTATCGCCCGATTTGCAATATCAGATATAATATTGCAATCAATAATATAACATAGTATAAGAAAGGGAATAAACTATGTAAGGATAAATCTGAAAGATTAAATGTGCCTCTTTCAAAAGGTTTTAATATGACATCAAGGTCTTTTGTATTTAGAATAGCCTATGCATATTGACTATCAGTCAAACAATTATAAAAACAAAAACAATCATATGTTCTTGGTAAAAAGGATACTACACTTTCATTTGTGAGTTATTTTGGAAGCACATCTTAATCTATGTTTTTTTCTCATTCTTGTTTAATGACACTTTATAATTTTTTTGCGCTTTTAATGATTAACCTTCATTAGGAACGCCCATACCCGAATATGACAAGCCAGGGATGTATAAATTAAACCTGCGTTTCATTACTTTGTAGGCATCCAGCCTTCGTCAACAACATTTGATATACCATTGATGCTTTGTTTGTTGAGGAACTTTACAGATATTGGTGTTTATGATCACACTCCACGTCCAGAAGATACGAGTGTTGCAGCTGATCTCAGCAGAATAGGGCATTATAGAAATAAATCTGCTCACCTGAATGATTGTTACTTATCTGTAGAATCTTTCAATTTAATTTGGACCGATTTGACTGAGGTAACCTTATGTCTTTACTAAGTTTTGTCGAAAATATATCACATTGTTTGATTTTTATTATACTTTTTGTCTCTCTTTATTTTAGAAAAAAAATGGTGGTAAGAACAAAAAAAAAATATGTTAAGTTGAACATCTTAAAGACCCAGCTATATATCGTTCCATATACGGATTTTTGTGAATTTTTGGTATCCAGTACAGAGATCGGATATTTTTAACATCCTTTTTAGGTAAATTAAAAAAAAAAATGGACGGATTTGAGATTTTCTAAAATCACTTTTCGTGAATGACAGTTTTTGGCGTTCCACACGATAGGACAAACCTTTCCCTTTAGTGACAAATATAGAAACACTAAAAACCCAACAAATCGACAAATATTTCCGACAGATTATTAGATATCATTTAATACAAACATAGTCATGGTAGGTTCGACTCTCATGTTTAGCGTTTCGTTAAAATGACACCGGATTTTAATATACTTCATATTTCATCAATAGATTAGGAAGAAACAAATCAAGGTAATGAAAAAAAAAATGATGGAATCGCATGAAATGCTAAAGGGGTAAGGCCGGACGCGTCGACAGAGTAAGCGCCTTCTGCTATGCATACATTGAATGCGAATTCATACTAGGTCAAATATCACAATCAGTAAAATTAAATACCATACGAATATACTAATATCAAAAACCAGCCTCGAAAGAGACCGTATAAAGTGATTTACACAATGATTCAAAACATAGTTTTTTCTTCGTATTACAGGCCATTAAACGTTTAGGGGGAACCAATTTGTTAAGAGAATGTCATGAAGTGAGACAAAAAATGGAGAATTTAGATGAAAGGAATTATATTTGTGAGATTTTCATGGAGATGCAGAGTAATAGGAAGGAGATATATAGATTAAAAGAAAAACACAAATTGGAAAAAGATTTATTAAGAGCAGAAGAAGAGGAAAGAGCTCAATTGCAGGAGTTATCCATGGATAAATATTACATCCGTAAGTGTTATTTTTTTTTATTCATTAACGATTTTATCATAACGAAGTTATCGAATGACGCTTGTAAAACGTCTTTCCGTTTGAAGTTATAAAGTGTCTTAAGAAATATCACTAAATATAATACACTGTTGCAGCTAGATAGACCTCTGAAATAACTGATTCACAACCCAATTCTATTTAAAATTGTAAATCTATTGAACATGTTGAAAATCTATCTTTAGTTTAAATTAAATTTGTGAATACATGTATATATTTCAATTCATAAGAACACATGATTTTGATGACTAAAATAGAACATAGGATATCAAAAAATAAAATGATTAGGATATATTCATCGAATGCGGTTGCTTTTTAAACTTAGATATGACTCTTGGTATTCCAGATGAGCAATTAGGACTCCTTTGGCCCTTTTGTTAAATTACACAGTACTCACATTAATGGACATAATAGCGGAAACTTATTTACTTATGACACAAAATTACAACGCAAAAATGAATAACCTAAAAGCAAAGAAACGATTCTCTTTTTGATGTCAATGTCAACTGTTTGCCTGCAACATGGACAAATAACTCTTATCTCACTGTAAATTCTTGGCAGTTTAAAACAACGGTTTAAGTAAATATTGACCAGTTTGGTCATTTTTACGGAAGCGTATTAGCGCCACACATTTTTTCCTATGTTTGCGATTTAACGCAAACCTTTGCGTTATAACGCAAACATTTGCGAAATAACGCAAAGGTTTGCGTTATATCGCAAACGTAAGAAGGAGGCTGCATATATTAAAATTTATCACCCTTTGTACTCAAAAATGCTTGCATGAATGTTTAGAACATATCATCAACTAATAATGAACAGGATAATACATTTATGTATATTACGAAAATTTAAGTTATACCGAAGAAAATAAAAAATCAACCCTGCTTATAAAGATAAAGCCGAATTTAAATATACTTCCAAAGTAAACTCTCGTTTGAGCATTGTGTAATGTTGGTTAGATCCAAAAAAGCTACGCTTTTGCAATACATGTATAAGATGAAGATGTTATTTTATCATAATTATGTTCTCTACATCCAAATTGCTACACAAGCTTCTTAAAATGCTACCTCACTAGATTTAATTTAAAGTCCATGACTCTTTTTCAAAGAATCTCTATCATATTCTGAGATTTCAACAAACGATTTCTTACATCAAAAATTTAAAAAAAAATGGTTTTTTTTCTGAATAATAAATTTTAAAGCAGAAAGATCAGTTTGTCTATTTGACTTATAGTTTCACAATTGTATGACATTATTTTTGCTCTTATATAGCTTACAACAAAATTTTTCATTTACCGTGTATATTATTCTATTTGGCGGCATTTTGTTCAATGTTATGGTTGTCTTTCTGAAATTGTTTTACACCTCACCCTTTATTTTATTGATTTTGTATTTACATTGTGTCATAGATCAAATTTATTCGTTCAGTGTATATTCACTTGTTTGTGTTAATATGTCTTTTGATTGAGTTAAGCCATTTCAATTGATATATTATAGTGTGTCTTTCTATGTTGTGATGTTACACTATTGTTTCAGGTAAGGGTGAAGGTTGGTACCTATTAAAACGTTTAAACCCGCTGCATTTGTTTGCACCTTCTCTAAGTCAGGAACCTGATGTTCGATGGTTGTCGTTTGTTGATGTGATTCATAAGTGTTTCTCGTTTCTCATTTTTCATATAGATTAGAACGTTGGTTTCCCCGTTTGAATGGTTTTACTCTAGTCATTTTTGGGGCCCTTTATAGCTTGCTGTTCGGTGTGAGCTAAGGCTCCGTGTTGAAGACCGTGCTTTGATCTATAATGGTTTACTTTTACAAATTGTGACTTGGATGGAGAGTTGTGTCATTGGCACTCATACCACATCTTCTTATATCTATATACCACTTTCCGTTGATCAAAAGTTTCAAAATCTTGACCTTTCCATTTAAATTTGCCTATACCATATCTATTTTCTTGTTAAATCTATATCATATACGGATACAAAAACCATTCTTATTTTGTGTATACTGCACTTCAGGTATTCCTTTATTTCTTTGCATATTTATCATAATACATTGTATGCATGGTCCTTTTCTTAGTTAAACCACAACCAAATTGTATCGGCAGTCAGACATGAAAATACCGATATTTACAAAACACTGCTTTCTACTCAAATTATATAATAAACATAACATGTAAATTTGATATAATAGTTTTTGAGTATTAGATATTAAAAACTAAATGAATAACTAAAATCAAGATGTTTGCGTTTACGTTATTTCGCAAAGGCTTGCGTTATAACGCAAACATGGGAAGAAATATAAAAAAAAAGGGTGGCGCTAATACGCGTCCGTACATTATATAATTATCACACTTTTATCTGGTAGTATATAAATTCTTATAATTAACAAATGGATGTATCAATTTACAAGAGCGTTCTTTTTATTTGTATAGTGTAACAATGTACATGTATTAAAATGAAAAGAGGTGTTTTCTTATTATCAAAACTTATTTTTGCAGAGAAAAATATTAAAATGAAAAGAAAATGGAGGGAACAACTTAACAGTGAAAGGTTTATTGTATCGACAGCAGCGCTTAATACCTTTGAAACGATGCTACATAATAGGTTTGTTGCAATTTCTGGAATGTCCGGATCTGGCAAATCAAGTGTGGCTCAATTCATAGGTCTGCGTATGTCAGAAAGTCATGGATATTTTGTCGTTTCCGAATGGCCATCTTCCTTGAGAAATTTTCCTCCAATGAACAATTATGGAACAACCAGCCCCAAAATTTTATATCTTTATGACGATTATTTTGGAAAATATTCGATCTCAGATCATGACCAATGCGGATTGAATTTGATGTTTGATGAAATGAAACATATAGCAGCAACTAACCTAAGTTGCAAGTTTTTAATTACGTGTAGACCAAACACAATCAATGTGAGCAAAATAAAGCACTTTCTTCCATCTATTGTAGAGTGTAATTTGCACTCACCAGAAATGTCATTATCAGGAGAAGAACGTCAGAAGATCTTCGACTTATATATTCCCGAGGAGGTCAATGTTTATCAGAATAATGATCTTTTACTAAGTACAAAACAGCTACCATTACTTTGTACATTATATAGAAAACATTTTTATAACAGTATACAAGATTTATTCTTAAATAAATAGTTTTAACCGATAAAATTAGTGAAATGAGAGAGTCAGAGAACCCATCATATATCTGCCTTGCTCTGTTATTAGTTGTGGAAGAACTCGATATAACAACATGGAAGAATGAATGCATTCAATTCGAGGGCTATACTATTTTACAGAGCGTCATAGTCGAGTCAACTTTTAAAACAGCACCGAAAAGTCGTAAGGTATTACAGGCGGGATGGGAATCAATAGAAGGAATATATGTTAAAAGGGAAGGCAATAAACTGTTGTTTATACATGACAAAATACATGACAATGTTGTATCGTGTATCGGGACGAACTTTATACGAAGTATATTAAAACACGCTAAATATTCATTTATTGAAGACCGAATAAGACTGGAATCCTATAAATGTGAGGACAGTAGCCCAAGTGCTGTTATTATTTTAAATCAGACTTATAATGAACAATTCTTCGAAAGACTTTTAAAAGAAATAACGCGTCGAAATGAAAAAGTGTTTGTACACATACAAAATAGACATCAAGGGTTTAGAAATGCCTTCATAGAATATCTCAGAAATCATTTGACTGAATTTGTTGTAGGATATTTCGAAATATCACTTATCTTATCGTCTAAATTGGGTTATGAAGACTTTGTGTCGTTCATAGTTGAAAAATGGAAAGAGCAATCTAGACCTTCATTATTCTTTCAAAGAGAATCACCATTTTATGTAGCATGTTCAAAGGGACATATTAATATTGTTAAAATATTGGTTGAATCATCTGTAGGAATAGAACATTTTAGTAGTCAGCCAATTGAAGTTGCTTGTATAAATGGATACAGTAACATTGTTGAGTTGCTACTCCGGCATGATATACATTCAGATCTTTCCATTGCCCTTGAAAATGCATGTAAAATTGGTCACAATGAAATAGCGATACTTCTTCTGAAAAAAGGAACATTTTATCATAACGAGCCTTTACGTTATGCTTGTGAAAATGGACATGACGAAATTGTCAGTATTTTACTGAGACACAAATTGCCTGTCAACTATAAGTATGGTGATATAAAAACATGTACACCGTTATACTTTGCTTCAATGAAAGGACATCTGAATATTGTAAAATTATTGATAAATTCTGAGGCAAAAGTAAATGAATGTCATATACGTGTTGCGGAGTGGAACGACCATGAAGATATTGCTGAATGTTTACGAGGACATTTGAGTTTACAGAAAGGCAAAAATTAGAGAGCTGCTCATTTAAACAGAACATATAAACACTGAACATACATAGCTCTGTTACTGTCATTCGCTTAGCTTCAGCTACATTTGAGGCATTCTTTGTGGACACTCAGTGTAATTTTGGACAGAGAGTGATAAATCTATAATAAAAACCATACACTTAATTCTGAATAATGTTTATCAAGTTAATCATAATATTTTATTTTCCCACGTTTCTCTCAAAATTAAAGAGTTCACCCCGAAATTCGAATTTCATGAAATACACGCTCTTGGTATGATAACTCATAATTTTCTTACAAATTTGAATGATAGCTTCTTACATCTGATTCCAGATAACTTAAATTCTCTGTAAATGACCTTATAAATCCCACTGTGAGTTCTAGCTCCGAGAGCTTTATGATATAAAAAAGAGGAGCCAAACACTATTGTGACATTTTAAAGTAAACGTATTGGCAAACAAAATTAAAGACGACGAAAAGACAAACAAGATCTTTCCATTGCTTTTGAAAATGCATGTAAAATGGTCACACTGAACATTTAATCTGTAAAGAACATGCATAGCTCTAATACTGCTCTTTGCTTAGCTTCAGCTACATTCGAGGCATTGCTTGACAACACTGATTGTCATTTGGAACAAAGTGTGGTTATTTGATGATAACAAACCAAGCATATCTCTAATGTCCCAAAGCATATGTTTATCAATTATGTGTTACATAAGAAAGAAAATGCACCGTAACAACAAAAACTAAATACTGTATAAACTTTATTAAGTTAATCACAACCGGTTTTTTACACGTTTCTCTCAAAAATTGATGAGTTAACCCCGAACCATATATTTCCTGAAATACATACTCATGATTTTCTTACAAATCTGAACGATAGCATTTTACATCGGAATTCCTAATATCTTAAATTTTCTATAAATGAGATTACAAATCGTTCAGTGAGTTCTTGCACGGAGAGCTCTATGATATAAAAAAGAGGCGTTAAACACCAATTGGACATTTTAAAGTCAAGAAAACAGCACTGAAAGAAAGACTGAGCAAATTAAAATCACACCAAAAATGGAGTGATCATAAATGCTACGGAAGGGTAAGCAGATCCTGCTACATTAGTGGCTCTCACCATGTTGATCATGGTAAGTCAAATTCGGTCATTAGTTTTATTCGGTGATATCAATGCAAATCTCACAAAATTGCAGGATAGGATAAGTAAATTAAGGCATTTTTTGTATCACTTAATTATTTCATATCACACTCCGGACTTCAGTGTGATACTAGAAATATATCTTCATGTGGGGAAAAAAAGATGGATGATACCAAGGGGGACAATTCAAAATATAACAGATCACAACAACAAACAAATGATTTCCTGACGTTCATTATATTCATACGTACTGACATATTCTCTAATCTCTTCAACAACACGAACGACTGTTCTTTTTGTAGCATTTTCATTTTTAAACTTCTTAATATCAATTAATTTAAAGGTTTTCATTCTCCGTATTCGGAGTGTCTATTTTTCATTCGTGTCAATATTTTTAACCCTATTTTATTTCTTCCCGGACCCCTATGCCTCGTCTGATTATTCTGAAATGTTTTGGTTGTTGTTTAATTTTGTTTAATTCAAGTTTCTGCAGTTTAAGATGTTCAAATATTTTGGGCTCACCTATTACTGAAGTGACGCTAATGACAAAATGCACATCCGGTGCAGTAAAGTTGGCATCGTAAATGTAACTGATGGACTGTTATATTAGTTCATTGGGGGTATATCATAAACAATAGCCCAGTACTTTGGTACTAGCTGTTGATTTTATTTGGAAAAAATACAGGGGGCGGGGGGGATCAAGAAATGAATCTCCTTCGTCGAAAGCTTTATATGATTTCCGTGTTCGAAGTTGCCTATACCTTTCGGTCTTTGTTGGTTTTATCATCTCCTCAGTGTATGATTTAGATTTTGGATCTAAAAAAAAATGAATCGATCATCAATATAATTATAATTCTTGTATAAATGTTTAACTATTGTTATTTAGAAGGATCAACTATAATGCCTGATTTGTGTTCAATGAGTTGTTTCTGAACAACAACACGAACAAAGAGTTGTTTCCTATGTCTTATGTTCATTTTCAAAATACAAACTATGTCTCAACTTTATCAGTTAAACTGATAAGTTGTTTATTTTTATCTAACCAAAACATCCTATCCAGAATGTTTATCTACAAAAATACTTAAACTTTTGTAAAAGACTTCTAGGTCAAGGTATTTTTACATTTCAATATGAATACCTTGTTTTTTCGTTAACAAATATTGAAATTAACGAAATCACAGTTCCTGTTTTTTAATGATTCGAAATTTGGTGATTATGTTGCCTGCATATATCCCAAATAATCTGAAATAAAGGATACCACAGATGTAATTAAGTCTGTCTTATATCTTGACATACATCTAGAAATTTACAATTAGCGTTGGTAGAGAAGTCAACTTTACGATAAAACAGATCATTTCTGTTTTATAATTATAAACTTTCAATTTTTGTGAAGCAACATTCGAGCAGCGCCTGCATACGGAGTATATATCTCCCAGGTGATCTGATATTTCAGGGTTTGGGTTTCCTATCAGAATTTCCTTGCTAGATGGTCACTGCTTATCAGAAAGCCATTGCTTCAAGGGCGTTAAGTTGTAAAGTTAAGCTTATCCCTCCGAAGGTTTTATGGACGCCGTCAAACCTGGTTGACCGTTGTTGAATTTCTGTGTCACACATGACTAAGGATATTTGCCACTGGTCGTAACCACAATCCCGCCCTCTTTTTCTCGATTGTAACATTACCGAATATGACTTATTACCGGTCTTGATCCCATTAGTTTACCCTTCAGTTGTTGGTAGGGCCCGTGTTGCTCAGATTAAGTTTCTTATGTGTTATTGTTTTGTGTCCTCTTATGATTTTTATTTTTGGTCATAGTATTACCTGTTCTTATTGGAATTATGATTTCCGAATGCCCCCTGGGTATCTACTGTCTGTTTTGTGTAAAAAGTAAACTCACAAAAATACTGAACTCCGAGGAAAATTTAAAACGGAAAGTCCCTAATCAAATGGCAAAATCAAAAGGTCAAACACATGAAACAAATGGACAACATCTTTCATATTCCTGACATGGTACAGGCATTTTTTTATGTAGAAAATGGTGGATTAAACCTGGTTTAATAGCTAGCTAAACCTCTTACTTGTATGACAGCCATGAAGGACTAATGATTCGCCAAAATCTCATCCTTATCAAATGATACGTTTTTGTATGTGGGATTACCTGAGTGCTCATTTTTAGAATAATAAATAGATGCATTGTGCCACATGTGGAGCAGGGTCTGCTTATCCTTCCGGAGCACTTGAAATCCTCCAATTTTTGGCGGGGTTCGTGTTACTCAGTGTTTGGTTGTTGTGTTTTGTGCTCTGATGTTTGTCTGTTTTCGTTTTTTTAGCTTTGGTGTTGTCATTATAAAAAAGAAGATGTGGTATGATTGGCAATGAGACAACTCTTTACAAGAGAACAAATGATACAGAAATTAACAACTATAGGTCACCGCACGGCCTTGGACAATGAGCAAAGCACATACCGCATAGTCAACCATAAAAGGTCCCGAATTGACAAATGTAAAACAATTCAAACGATAAAACTAACGGCCTAATGTATGTACCACAAAATAATGAACGAAAAACAAATATGTAACACAGCAACAAACGACAACCACTGAATCACAGGCTTATTTTCGACTTTTAATTTTAAATGTCCCTTTGGTATCTTTCGCCTCTTGTTTTCTGATTCTATCTGAATTCTATTATTTTATTTTGTAATGTTGTTTGATTACTAGTATATAAGCAATTGGTTTTCTCACCAAAAGTACTTTTCAAAGCTATATAAGAAACATACCTGTAACCCACCAACTTCGTCTTGTAAGTTAAGGGGCCGTCTTCCCTGTGTTGTCTACATCGTAGTCCTTCTTTTATCTTTGAATACAATTGACAAATATAACAAAATGAATAATTTAATTCCAGTTAAATTTTGGTTCATTTAATACAGAAAGGTTAAATATATTTAGATTCCAAATAAGCCTTTAAAAAATGGCGACAGCAGTATGCTCAATCAATTTATAACCTTTGTAAGTTATATGGAAAAAGTAAAATCACAAAAAATACTGAACTCCGAGGAAAATTAAATCGGAAAGTCCCTAATCACATGGCAAAATCAAATGACAAAACACATCAAACGAATGGACAACAACTGTCATATTCCTGACTTGGTACAGGCATTTTCAAATGTAGAAAATGGTGGATTGAACCTGGTTTTATAGTGCTAAACCTTTCACTTGTACGACAGTCTTATCAAATTCCGTTATATTTACAACGATGCGTGAACAAAACAGACATTATAAATAAAATAGTCAAAAAATGGGTACAGCAGTCATCACTGTGTTACAAACACAAAAAAAGCACAAAAGCATCTATCAAATAAAAACCACATTCATTGCTTCGCGTGTCTGACGTCAGAAAATGTAAACGTCACATAAGAAAAAAGTTTGTCATTCAATGTTTATTCAAAACAATTTTATAATTTCACATGGGGAATGTTGGTATACAGGGTTAAAAAATCAAAAGTTATGTTAGAATTAATTTCAGAAATAATGGAACTACTGTTATGTTTTGATGACAGTTTAAGACATGTAACAGTGGTATGTTATGTTTTGATGCTAGAAGCCTTCTTATCAAGATTTTTAACCAATGGTACTCTTACAATCACGTTGTAAAAACGTTTCTGACACTAGTCAGTCAAAAAGTCACGGGGTCTTCAAGTTTTCGCAAACGACAAGTACCATTTGCGTAGGACGACCAAATAGGACCTCCAACTTGATCACTTGATTACAGAAGATAGACGCTGGCGAAGATTGTGCACTTACTTTTAAGGACTTTTACTAAAACAAAAAAAATAGGGGATAGAGTAATCGCAAATAGCCCAGACTTTAGATGAGGATAACTACTGGAATAGGAGGTTGAAACTTATATGTACTGGTAACTTATGTTAAAAGACTGTTCGCATGTTATAGGGATTTTGTGCCGCCAACTTATACTCCATATCATTTTTGGTACAATGAACAGATGCCCAAAACATATATCTTCTACAGTGAGATGACCAAAATACACACTAAAAAAATAATAAACGACTAAACTGGTATCTAAGACCGCGACAACATGTCGCAAGTGAGTTGAGTAATGCACATCGTATCTGTCAATCAGTTTATGATGGTGACCGTTAAACTTATGTTGTATCGATTTCAGTCGTTCTTCCTAATAACTCTATTAAAGCAGGTTCTCTGTAAGTAGAATACCACTGTTAATGAAATCCGTAAAATGTGAACATGCATGAGATATGTAAACGCCATACGATAAAGTAGAGGGTATGCATCTGCTAAGAAATACAATGTTCACAACCAGAAAGTTGAAATTATCACGTTTGTCATAAAATGTAGTATGAAGTCGTCCATCTGTCTCAATATCAAAGGAAAGGTCTAGATATGAATTTATATTGTTTGGGTTTGAGCATTCCTGATGCAGGTAAATCAACAAAAAAAAACGCATCGAACGCACGAAATCTATTTGGTATTTTTTTTAATTTAATTCTTATCTTTATTTACTAGTATGATTCGTTTATGTATTTTTGTCTTTGAATTTCCAACTTATCAATCATAACCCATGTCTGTTGTGTTTTTAACCTTTTACCAATAGTTTATCGACAGGTAGGAAGCTATTCCATTTCTTTTTTTCTTTTTCAAAAAAATATGTTTATGTTTTATCTTTTGAAACAAACAAGTTAGGTTTGCGTTTTCCAAAGGATACACATGTGAAAAAACCCCGAAATTTTGAGTAAATGTCTAACAATTCGACCCCGTTAATCTCTAAAAGACGCAAATGAAGGTAATGTTTTTAATAATAAAAAATAGTCGATTTGCAAATGTTCGTAAAAAAAAACCCACTACAGGATCAAAGCAGTAGTGTTTGCTCTTAATACGACGTCTAGCGGATTGCGCAGTTGCTGTCAAATTTCACACAAATCTTTTGAATATAAAACTATCTGACAAACGTTAGACTTGCGTTTAGTGAATCTGAATTTAATAGGAGCAAGCAGACGGGTATTGTTGATTATCATATAACTGGTTGGATATCAGTTTTTGTTTGTTTCTGCTACAGTCAATTTTTTAAGATGTACAAAATTACTTCATTCTAAGCACCCTTTCTAGCCATACCTATAAAACATAAAAATCATCCTATGTACTTGAGTTTGCTGTACATCAAGTACCGTAGAAACAAGTTCATACGGAACTCTATATACATTGCTCAGTAGTTACAAAGACATTTGACAAAATATATGCATATTTTGTATTAATAGTAATCCACTATATTGTCAATATTTGTATGTCTTTTGTTATTCGAAGAACAATGGCACTATCATTGAGCATTCCTGATTTTCGAAGTTTGTCACATTGGACAATTTATTGGATACTAGTATAATAATAGTTTACCACCCCTACATGAATTGAAAGCATAAATGTGAGCTTATACATGTTATATCAACTTATCAAATTATTTCGAAAGTGACTGAATATATTTCTTTCTATGATAAAGCAAAATGTTTAATTAGGCATATTTTTTTTTATTCTAAAACGGATATTTTCGAACTGAAAACATTTACAGTAGGGATATTATTAGTTGCACAGTGTGCTAGTGACATAGTGATAAGTTCACCCCATGCAGATGCCAGACAAATGTCATGGCAACAAACGGGAAACCGGTAAGGACATACTTGGATTCCAAACCGATACCGCTAAAGCCCTGCTGTTTTCCTAGTACAAGATAGCCGAAAATCCTCCGATAAAGGATATCGGAAAGAATCTACCGATCCAATATAATAGATTGGTCTGATAGTTTAAAACATGGAAACTATCTATGGATCCCATGTGCGCACATGTCTCAATCAATCCGGAAAATATCTGCAGAAACCTTCCCCAACAAAAAAATATAAACCAAAACATAAAATATACGATGTAAGGATTAAAATTTATCCATGAAACCAATTTGACAAAGCAATTTCAATGATGTTGAAGGATTCTCTCTGGGAAGAAATTCACGTCCTTTCTCATCGGCATGCAAGGGTTGTAATAAAAAAACCCAGGACGGGTTCTAACAGAAATATTTTGAAAGCAGAGAAATCTGTGCAGAACCAGCATGACTTTATTAGATGACAATACGAATAGTACAAATACAGGCTAAAAAATTAAGGCGTATGTAATTCAATTCAGTCACGGAATCGTGGATGTCGCGGATGTGTTCTAGTACCTGTATAATCATAAATATAGGGTTTCCTTATTAACGAATGGCTCAATCTACATGAAGTTGATTACACTTGTATTTCACATGATGATGGTCATTCACTTTGTTTTACAGTTATTATATCAATAAAGCTATGTGACGTTCCTGTATGAAATTTAACTGATATAAAGTCACAGATTCTAATATATAGTGTAAATATATAGATATAGTATAGCATGATTTCATACAATTTTAATACGTTGATTTTGATTTCGGTAAATTCAAACATTGCTATAAACGGTGTTGATTTTTGTCGAACTTGCGACATTGATGTCGAAAAAGCGAGAAACAGCGTTCATAGATTTCGTCGTCGTCGGCGTCAACATTTCGGGTTCAGTCTGGGGTTAAAGTCTTATTTAGACATCAATAACTTTGTCGAACCTTCATGGAATTTTAAGAAATTTGGACAGAAGCTTGTTTATGACCAAAATACAGTATCAGAGCGAAATTTTTTTTAAATAACTATTTTCCTTTTCCGTATTTTACTGATAAATAAACTCATCATAGTTACCAGTATTGAAATTTTGTAAATTGAAATAAATGGACTTAGTTTTTTTATACATTCATATTCAGTCGGAGGTTAAAGTTTTTCTGTCATCAATAAATTTGTCAAACCTTCATGGAATGTAATGAAATGCGGACAGAAGCTTGTTTGTCACTAAAATACAGTATTCAGAGCAAAAATTTGAAAACATTTATTTTTATTTTTCCGTATTTTACTTATAAATGGACCTAGTTTTTTTTTTACAGTATTCATATTCAGTCTGAGGTTAAAGTTTTTCAGTCATCAATAACATTGTCAAACCTTCATGGAATTTAATGAAATTTGGACAGAAGCTTGTTTGTCACTAAAATACAGTATTCAGAGCAAAAAATTTGAAAACATTTATTTTCATTTTTCCGTATTTTACTGTTAAATGGACTTAGTTTTTTATAGTTAACATTCATATTCAGTCTGAGGTTAAAGTTTTTCAGTAAATAATAACTTTGTCAAACCTTCATGGAATTGAATGAAATTTGGACAGAAGCTTGTTTATGACTAAAATACAGTATCCAGAGCAACATTTTGAAAATATTTATTTTCATATTTACGTATTTCACTGTTGAATGGACTTAGTTTTCTTTTACATTTAGATACAGTCTGGAGTTAAAGTTTGTTAGACATCAAATACTTAGTCAAACCTTCACAGAATTTTATGAAACTTTTTTTTACGATTAAGAAATAATGTCTGAAGCAAACTTTTGAAAAGACCTTTTCATTTACAGTATTTTTCGTATAGACTGACTTTTACAGAGAGATGATTTACAGACAGTCTTGGATAAAAAATTTTTGACATGATAAGTTTGTTCACCTTGATGGATTCTTATGAAACTTAGACAGAAGCTTAATTTCAAGACCAAGAAATAGCATTTAAAGAGAAAGTTTGATTTTTTTTTTAAATTCTGTATTTTACTGATAAATGGACTCACTTTTAAGTCAACATTACACTTTTACACTGACAGCAGCAATTGTAGGCGAAACACAGGGTTCCGCGGAACCCCTTCCGAATCTTTATTATTGATTTTCGTGCTTAATCTGTGCTGAGATTGAATGATTTTTTTTTTATGTATCTTATGTAATTCAATTGATCGAAATAATGAAGGAGGGTTGAGATTTAGAAAAAAAAAACAGTTAAACCTCGCCACTTTTTATGCAATTGTCCCAGTCAGAACCTTTGTCAGTACTTGATTTTTTTGGGGTCTTATTTTAATGTTTTTGGTCATTTGGGAAATTTTGTTTTCCTTTCAGGTCTTTGTTTGTCTAAGTTGAATAAATCCAAACTTTGTTTTTAATTTGGACATTTAAGAATTTCCCAAATCATCTATTTTTGAATACCATTTGTTGATTTGCAGATGTATTGAGAAATTCTATTGTGTTGTCGGTTTGCTGTTTCAAAGATGTTTATCCCAGATATTCTTTAATTCATAGAATACATAATCCCAGTTTTGAACAAAAATTGTAGAAATGAAGACAGTTTTCCCTCTTTTCTTTGTTATTGAGTTATTATCATTGGTTTCGCTCATTGTTGAAGGCCGTACGGTTACCTACACGTATAATTGCTTACATCTAGGGCATGTAGTATCTGGTAGATTGTGGTCTAGTTTGCAATCATACCACATAATATAGAAATTAAAATTCAAAATTTATTTCAATAAGAAATAATCATGAACTTCGTTAAAGCAGATTGAGGCTTTTCAATTTATGTAGGAGAGGTAACTATTAAAAACAACACGACGGGTGCCACTGGTTAAACAGGAACTGCTTACGCATCCGGAGCACCTGATATAACCCCAGTTTTTAATGGGGTCCCTGTTTCTTTAGTTTTCTATGTAGTTTTTTGAAGTCTTGTTTGTCTTTTTGTCGTCTCTCGTTTTCTTCCTTTCGACTTGTAAGATTTGAACCTCATAAATCAAAATCATGAAAAAGTTGAGAAAACTTCCTGTAAAGAAGTGTGCAAGTTTAAACATAAATCTGGTATATATATGATAATCATTTTCGAAACCAATGCAACCGGAAAAACTATCAAATCCAAAACTATTAGAGTGACTTCATATGAATAAAGACTAAGAGGTTTATATTTGGTACTAAACTATAAAAAATCGACCATTAAAATGATCATTGGTTTTCTGTACTTATCTTTATATCGTAATGCTTTCGTCCTTATTGGAAAAAAGTGTTGATGCACAATTCTTGAATGTCACATCTTTCGTAGACTCGGAACGATTAAGAGCTTGACGTATTTCCTTATACAATCGTCTTATGTTCAAAACAGTATGTTGAATGAGCCACAGAGTAATATTAGCCTCAAAATGTTTCGTATCCTTTACTTAACCCTTGCACTTTCCATTTCTACGTAGTAAATAAAAATATGCCCCTACATATGAGGTATATATATCTCAGTTGATACGATATTCCAGAGCCTGCGTTTCCAATCATGATTTTATTTATAGAGGTTGCTGCTTAAAAGGAAGCTATTGAACTAATAAATTATAATGGTAAAGTTTCAGTCATCCCTATGGAAGTTTTACGGGCGCCATCATGAGTTTGTAGACCGTTATTGAATATCTGTGTCATAGATGACCACGGATATGATCCAATTGTCGTAGTCCATTTTTACGCGATTGTTACATGACCTAAAGAGATTTAACGCCGAATCTGTAATTACCATGAGCAACACGAAGAATTCCCAATGTGTGGCAGGGTATGCTTACCCTTCTGGAGCACCTAATATCATCCTTGATTTTTTGTGGGGTTCGTATTGCTCAGTCTTTAGTTTTTTATGTAGTGTTTTTTGTCATTTTGTAGTTTTGTGTTATTTTCATTCCAGACTCTAGTCATTATAGAGTTTAAAATATGGTATAAACACTGAACCAAGATGCATTCTTGTTAGTCTTTAAGGGAAATAGATGTATATTGTTGAATAAAGTAAAACTTCTTGTCTGATGACTTATTTTTTTAATTCAACTTTTAACACGAGGCAGTATCATTAAGGCTCATTGTTCTGAAAAAGAAAACAGTAAGATTACTTTTTGTTCTTGATATGTTTTCTACAAATTAAGTAGACAATCACTGTCTATAATATGCAGTACTCAACATTCATGTATTGGTATTTAGAATGAATTAGGAATACACAATGTCTCCATTTTATGTATATCATATTGTATCAAAACAGATTAATTGAGTTTTTGTTTGTTGTATGGTGTAAGTGGGAATGTGGGAAATGGGTGCAATGGAGAATGAGGAATGATGGAATGGTGTATGGTGAATATAGAATGATTTAAGGGGGCACAAGGAATGGCGTATGAAATAATCAGGAATGTAGTAAATGAGTAACAAGGCCCATTTAATTGATCACGTTATAATTCGGTTCTTTTCAATTTTTCCAATTGTACAGAAAAAAAACCCCACAAAAATAGATAAAACCATCTTTAGCGTGCAATAACTCCTCTAAGGGGCCAATTGACGATTTCAACCAAGCTGGCTTATTTGTCGATCTTATTTTGCTGAACATTTGTACAATTAATAGAATCACTCTACCTGCTAAAGTTTCCGCTAAAATGCAAAAAGGGTCAAAATCATTATTCAAAGGCAATTACTCCAGACCTATAAAGGGTCAATTGAGGCTTTCGGTCATGTAGAACTATTTGTATATCTTATTGTTCTAGTCAATTGTTACTGTTTACAATTTCCCTCTATGTGTTATTGTTTTCAAAAGACCAAAAGCTTCGAAATTTTAAGCAGAAAAAATACATTTCAGGGGCACAAATTCCAAATGGGCTGTCCAAAGTTTCTGAAAATTCAATAGGATGAGACATAACCTTGATCTGCTGATTTTTGTTCTACCCTGTATCAGTTTTGCTCTAATTGTTTTAGTTTTGGAGATTTAAGCCAAAACTATGAAATTTGCTAAAAATAGATACCAGGGGCAATAACACCAAAATCGGTTATCTGATTTTTCTAATAATTCAATAGGAAAAATGTTGACCTGTTGCTGTTTTTTATCGTTTGTCAGTTTTTCTCTAACTGCTCTAGGTTCCTATAAGCCACACACTGCATTTAAACCTATGTTCTATTTTAAACAACAGCGACCTTGTTTGTTGATTGATTAAATCCCCGAATACAATTTTTAAACTAGATTCCCGTAGAAATATTCAGGTAAAGTTTGTAACAATTGACACAGTTGTCCCAGAGAATCTTAAAAAAAATAATTTCAACGACAGAAAAACGGGCGACGACGACAAACGTGAAGTAAAAAAAAATGAAATGTTGGCTGTGTCACCTGAATATTGTACAATATATACAACTGGATTAGAATAAGTTCTAGCAGCAGACCCTTTCTGAGTACTAGGATTATCTATTTTCTATGCCAGTAAAAGAATCTAAATAAACTAATCAAATCCCAGGCCTTTCAATAGGTAGATAAATATTTCGTAGATACAAAAATCAATCATTTGCTTTGCCGAACCTCAAAGATTTTTTAAATACAACAGTTCAATTTTACTCATCGGCATGAGATGTGATGTAATCATTATTATCTATGCATAAAAAATTATTGCAAGATTATGGAAGATGAATGAAGACTATTATGTAGTACCAAGTTTAGATATTAATTTTTCCATTAAAGATTCTGATAATATGGAAAATGCTTTAAATAGTTTCCGGATGAGTTATTATATATACTATATACATTTTTATCAATATTTTATATGATTGTCTAAATGATAAATGTTTAATTGACTTCTTTTAAAAAAAAATTGTTGAAATTAGCAATCCCAGCACTCAGTTTGTAAACATGTTGCATTTCAATGTGGTATTATTGAAAGGAGCCAGTTCAGTTGTCGAAGGATTCCATAATAAAAAATCAAGTCTTAAATGCACTCAATTAAATGCAAATTACAAAAAATGTTTAATACACACTTCGTCAAGATACAATATAAAAAAGAAGGTGTGCTATGATTGCTAATGAGAAAACAACTATCCACCAGTGACTTAATGTAGTAGATGTAAGCAACTATAGGTAACCGTACGGTCATCAATAATGAGCAAAACCAATACCGTATAGTAAGCTATTAAAACTTCGTAATGATAAAAAAAGCAATAAACGAAACAGAAATATGATAGACAGCGACCAACGACAACCACTGAATTTGAGACCCCGAATTGAGACAGGCACAAACAGAATGTGCCGGAGTAACATGTTTGCGAGCGTTCAACCCTCCCCTTATGTGGGACGACTGTAGTGAAACGGCACAACATAAGAACAAATTCTAAATATCAGTTATAAAAGGCTTGACTCATTAGATCTACACAAAGCACATAAAACAACTAACAAATTGACGAAAGACACAAAGTACCGATCTAAGAATACTTACTGAAATCTGGTTCAAAGCTAATTAAGACCTATTTGAAATAAATTTTGTATTTTATAAGACAGGCTGTTATTAAGTTCAAATATATACATCTCACTTAATCTAAGGGGGAAATTGGACTAGTTATATATGGTTATTCTCATTTAAATTTAGTACACCCTTTCTGTTATGCATCATAAAATATTGTCATGTCATGACGATTATTAGTTATACTAACCTTAATGTTAAACCTTATGGCCAGTTCCAACACACACAAAAGACAGAAAAGCATCGTCCATGTTTCTTTCCATTCTTTTTACAACATTTTTTTCACTTGCTTTTCATAAATGGCAGTAGGCAGTGTTTAGAACACTTGAGAACCCGTACACTGTTTTTGGGTTCCGCCCCTTGCACTTCCATCACTGAAAATGTATGTATGTATGTATGAATGTGTGTACGTGTATATGTATGTATGTATGTGTGTGTGTTTTACACGTAAATTTTTTCGTAAAAATCCAAGATTGCAATAGGTTTCATGAAATTTTAGTGATTCAACATAAAATATTTTAACGAACAATTAAACCATTTTAATCCTCGTTCTCTCTTTTCTTTTAGATAGACTAACTCTTTTTTGATTTTAGCATACATATATGAAAATAATTCATAATTTGTAGACCAAAACGTAATTTCCTCGGCAACATAATATAAATAAACTGACTTAGAGATGGAAAAATATCAATAACAGCGATTCTCCTTTGCGTTTGTTATTTTAATTAAAAAAAAAAAAACAAGAATGTGTCCATAGTACACGGATGCCCCACTCGCACTATCATTTTCTATGTTCAGTGGACCGTGAAATTGGGGTCAAAACTCTAATTTGGCTTTAAAATTAAAAAGATCATATCATAGGGAACATGTGTACTTAGTTTCAAGTTGATTGGACTTCAACTTCATCAAAAACTACCTTGACTAAAAACTTTAACCTGAAACGGGACAGACGGACGAACGGACGGACGGACGAACGAACGAAAGAACGAACGAACAAACGGACGCACAGAACGAAAAACATAATGCCCCTCTACTTATTATGTTTCATGAAATGACTCATCATATCCTTTTTTCTTTCTATTATAGAAATAAAAAAAATTAGGAGTAAACGCCAATTAAACATGTACCTATCAATGAAAAAAACCAAATAAAACATTCAACCCAAAGAAATATTCAAATAAGGATTGCAATAGCTTTTTAGGATATTCATTCAATCGCACTGTTAAATTAAATCCATTTAATTTCCCGTATAACGTAAAAAACGATGTTTAACCGTGCGCTTAAAATGTTCAAATCTTATATATAAAACCTTGAAGGTTCACTCACGACAAAGTCTTTAAATACATTTCTTATAAGTGTATGTCATCTGGGTTACACTTAAGTTATTCTACGTAAACTATTTTTAAAATAGATGTTTCCTGTTGCAATTGAGTCGTAAACGTTATACATGTACTCAATCGATTAAAAGTTAATTATAATGTTTAGCCTCCAAATAAATACTACCTAAAATGATCATATAATTCACCATTCATCTCTCTCTTACTCTCCGTTGAATAATAAGCAAATATAATCATTTGTAACGTTGATTTATAAATTTTGGGCCTTTTTTAATATGCTTCTGCAATATGCCTTATGCCCGGTAAGGACTTGTCCGCGGGTTTGAACTTAAGTAATATCAAATCAGTCCAGCAGTTACTGCTGACTTTTCCGGAGCGCCTGATTCCCTCCCCTATTTACGATGAGGTTCTTGTTGCTCTAGTTCTAGAACTATGTTGTACTTCTGTTTTGACTTTTGTTTCTTTTTCCTTTTGGTCATCGTGTTGTCTGTTCTTTAATTAAAATTTCGATTTTCCTTCCACCTTTTTTGTCGTTTTTTTTACTGTTCTTCATATACAAACACACTTTTGATTATGAAGGACAGTATTTAAAATTAGAAAAAAAACATACAAAAGCATGTTTTATGATCGATCCGAACTCATGATGAACTGAATATTAATGTGTGTAATACCATTAAATATTTTTTTTGTAAATTTTAAGTTACTTAATAATATTAACTATTAAGATAAGGAAATGTGTTTACTCACCACATGAAAAGATCAGAAGTAAAACAAAAATTGCTCCAACAATTGTTATTTTTTTCATATTGAAATGGTTTCCTAAAAAAATATTAAAAAGATCGTACATGCATTTTCTAATGTAGTGTTGTTACACAACTGTAAGAGGAGTCTTGAGCGCTAACAAACATGTTTAACCCTGCCACACTTTTTGTGTGTCTGTCCTCAGCGAGGGGTTCTGTTATCCAGTAGTTGTCGTTGGTTGCAGGATGCCATTATCATGATTATGTTTTTTTCGTTTATTGTTGTATAGTAAAAATTAGGCCGTTGGTTTTGTCCTGTGGTCTTCAATGGATAGTTGTCTCATTTACATTCTTACCATATATCATTACTTTTAACTTTAGCATCCAAGAATTTCTTTCCTTTTTGTTCCTGAGATATACATCTTAGGATGTATTAACTTATTGCCGTTGCCATTAAATGTATTTCCGTTAAACAGTAGTTAGATAATGTAATAAAAGCTAACTAGAATTTTAAATAGAATCCTTTACATAACAGATGATAAAACAAAAGTCATTTAAATATAAACAGTAAACAAATGAAAGACTACTTACCTTAATTTTGCTTTTTTACCTAACGTATACAGGTCAGATCTATTTGATGTACAACGTTTTGCGTCTGAATTTATAGTAGACTGACTGTGTGTTTAAACATCAGGATAAATAGTTATTGTTTCATTCATCATATGATCATATGACACAGAGAAAATAAAAATAACACATTATTAATTGTGTGCATGCTGTTTATTTTTTCAGTTTTTCCTTCTATAAACATTATTTTTTTTGGAAAACAAATTTATTACACAATTATATGACGCAACAATGTAATTACTTTACAAAATATTTAGTTTACTTTTTCACTTTTCAAGTGGAAAAACTCAACAACCTTTTGTTTCAGAGGGATACATATAATATGCCACATTACTTTGCAGTTAAAACAGATAAAATTTTGGAACAGCGTCATAAGGGGAATAATTATACTCGTCACACACACACACCGCTCCCCCCACACATATATACACATACACATATATATAAATATTTAAAAGTCGAAAGTCAATGGACGTTTTGAATTTACTTAGGGAGGAATAAAAACGCTAATAAAGGATATGTAAGCCTTCCGTTCCGTTTGTAAAAACATTTTAATGGTTTCTGTTTTCATTTTTTTCGGGTATTTTTGCCTTTTTTTTTTTTTTTTATTTTTGCTTTTTGTTTTGTTTTTTTAGATTTTTTTTAGGGGGAGGGGGTACCGCATTAATGTAATTTCTATTGATCCATGAATCTATAAAATTTTAAAAGTTCCAATTTTCCTTGTAATACTGATTTTTTGGTCATTTTACGTTACATAATACTTGACCGAGATATTTCTTATATAATTGTTTTGAGATTAATGGGATATAAGTTTCCTGGTTAGATTTTTTTTCTGGCATCATATCATACATAGTTAAATGTTTTAATTTTTTTCACAGTGTGTCCTTCTAAAAACATGCATTTTGTTTATTTTAATACTTTATAACAAAATACAAAAAATTCTTCACACATATCAATTTATCAACCAACTTTTGTTTAACCAGGTGAATATATCATGCTACGTCGGTTTGTATATGAAACATTTGAGAAAGTTAATAAAGTCCTATTTCGGGACAGTGTCATTAAGGGGTAATTACATTGAATAGTGTAGTTTATTCGTCCTGAAACAACTGGTAGAGGATATAAAACCTCCTTTGGTATTGGAGGACACAATATTGAAATTCAAAGGACTAATACACATTCGAATTATAGCAAAGCTAGTTAAGACACGTGTGTGTACAAAAACAGCGGTTTACGATCAGCGAACAGACACAAACACACAATCACATATACAAGGAGGAACAAATCTATTATAAATACCGACAGTCTATGGCCGTTTTGAATTAACCTAGGGAAGAATATAAAAGGTAAAAAAGGAAGATGTTATAGAAAGATATCATTTGAACCAATTATGCACCCTAAAAGAAAACTTTGAAGTAGACAAAACCACAACTTTGTATCTATAGTCTGGCTCAAGGGTTCCTGTCCGCCTAAAACACAGTACAACTTTTTTTACCGCTATGATTTATCAAATTTGACCTAGAAATTACATTCGAAAACTGTCACTCCATTCATTTTAACATTATTCATTTACTAACCGCTCCACTGCTCATCATTTACCGCCCACTTTCCGATCCTTACGGAGGTTTAATATTGTTATGTCGGCCATTTTCCGTCTCCTGGTAACAACAGGGAGTCGTTGTTTTTTTTTGTTTTTTTTTCATTTAGCCAGTTGTATTAATATACATCACACCGTCTGCATGCTCCAATAAAAGTACAATTGACTGTACAGATGGGTGCGGTCCTAACCTGTACACAAGTTAACTTAAAGCAGTCCTTACGACTGCTCTATAGGTTAACTTCGGAAAATTTTAGCAGACCTGTAAGTTAACTTTATCCCTAGCAGACCAGACCTCATGTCTGGCTTTTTATGACTGCTGCAGACCAGACCTAAGGACAAGTTTGCTAGAGCAGACCTGTTCCCAGGACAGGTCAGCTCGACCAGACCAGACCTGTGGACAGGTCTGCTTGACTAGACCAGACCAGACCTGTAGAAAGGTCTCCTTGACCAGACCAGACCTGTGGACAGGTCTGCTTGACCAGACCAGACCAGTGGACAGGTCTGCATGACCAGACCGACCTGTGGACAGGTTTGCTCGACCAAACCATACCTGTGAACAGGTCTGCCTGACCGGTCCAGACCAGACCAGACCTGTGGACAAGTTTGGACTTAAACAGAGCAGTCCTGTCGGTCATGGGGACAGGTCTGCTTTTTAATCGGTCCTATGGGTATTCTTTACCACGTTGATACAAACAATAAAAGCAGTCATGTTTAGAAGTTAACTTTGGATCATGTTAACTTTATCTTGAAAGCAGACCAGATCAAAGTTAACTTGGGACCAAGTTAACTTTATCTTGGAGGAACAGACCAGAACAAAGTTAACTTTGGATCATGTTAACTTTATCATGGACCAAACCAAAGTTAACTTTTATAAGAACAGGTCTGGTTCTACTGTTGATAGCAGACCTGGTCATAAGTTAACTTGCATGTAGGACTGCTTGTGGCAAAGTTAACTTCGTCCAAAGTTAACTTTAATTCTAGACACGGACCTGTCCTGAAGTTAACTTTTCGGGCAATCATTAAACAGTCCTAGGTCCAAGTCTGCTTTTTAAGTTAACACAAATTCTGTCCTAGGACCGGTCACAGCAGTCATAAAACCGGTCCTAAGTTAACTTTAACCAGTCATAATGTCTGTTTATAAAGTTAACTAGCTGTATAGGTTAGAACTGCACCCATCTGCATGTAAGCCTAACGTTTGCAGCTACGGACTCCTCGTTAGAGGTCGTATAAAGTAATTATTTTGTCAATGTTTACACTTACAATACTTTAGCGAATGAGTTTAAACGTGTGTGGCATCAATTCTGTTTAAAAAAATTTAAAGCTTTAGTTTTCATTTTTCTTTCTTTTTGTTTGGGGGTGGTTGGAGATGTGAGGGTGATGGATGATTACGGTCTTAATGTTATTCTATTATAGAATTTAAAATTTTCAATTTTCCTTGTAATACTGTTGATTTGGTCATTTTACAATAGATATTACAAAAACGGGATATTTCGAATTTTTACAACTTTCTTGGTAAAGTGTTTCCTGGTTATTTCTTTATTTTTTCTGGCATCATATGATACAGAGCAATATGTATGATTTTTATACAGTGTTTCTTTCTATAATAAAATTGAGAATGGAAACGGGGAATGTGTCAAAGAGACAACAGCCCGACCAAAGAGCAGAAAACAGCTCAAGGCCATCAATGGGTCTTCAACACAGTGAGAATATTTCGCACCCGGTGGCGGGCTTTAGCTGGCCCCTATTCTAAAATGTATACTAGTTCAAGGGAATGGACGTCTCACCAAACTCCATAACGGTGTTAAACATGTTTTGTGAGATTTCAACCCTCCCCCTATACCTCTAGCCAATATAGAATAAACAAACACACAGCAATACGAACAGTAAAACTCAGTTTAAAAGAAGTCCGAGTCCGATGTTAGAATAGGTTACAGAAGAAACTAAGCAAAATGGCAATGATCAACATAAATTAACAAAGGACTACTAGCAGTTACTAATATGCCAGCTCCAGACCTCAATTAAACTAATTGAAAGAGTGTGTCTTCATCATATGAAAATCAAGCACAATCCATCTCGTTAGGGGTTTAGTATCATACCATCATAAAATATACGAGAAGCACATAACTCGTATCATGCCAACAACTGGTTTTAGAATAAATGTGTTTATTTCCGATGCAAAGACCCTATGAGTGAATCAATATTAATTCTAAAAATGCCATCTTTAATGACCTGACAATAGTATCGTAACTATATCCCTTTTAAATAAGTCTGTTTAAAGGTTTGGTTAGCTTTTGAGGTGAATGAACATGCATTTTGTCTTTTTTAAGAATTTATAACAAAATACAAAAATTTCTTCACACATATCAATTTATCAACCAACTTTTGTTTAAGCCAGGTGAACATATCATGCTACGTCGGTTTGAAGATAAAACATTTAAAAAAGTTAATGCAGAGCGTCTTAAAGGTGTTTCACATTGAATAGTGTCACTAACTCGTCCTTACGCTACTTGTAAATGTTAACAAAGCAAACACACTTTGTTAATGATGGATTAACGTTTGAAATTCAAAAGAAACATATACACGAAGGAATCATAAAATAATAGTACACGAAAGTTTCGCTTAATGTCCTGTGACCGATGCTCTATTATGGATTTAGCTTTATCAGGAACGCTCATACCCAAACAATTTAGGACATATGTGCGCACAAGTAAAGGCATATGCGACCAGTGAAAACGTAAACAAACAAAGAAAAAACTCCCACCAAATCTCAAACAGTTTATTACATGTGTTTTGAGTCTTTTATAAAGCCGTTGTGTAGCTTTAGAACCAGACTCGGAAAGTGATTCGACTAGTTTTCCTCCATTCCTCCAATGAAGTTTCGTTGTACATATTAGATAAATTTAATATCAAAGCATCATGTCTTGTTTATCATTTGTATTGAAGAAATTTAAAATAGATGTCGGACTCTGAATTTGAAAAAAGACTAAATATCATAGGGGGGGGGGGGGGGGGGGAGGGTCTCAAAATAATGTGTACGGTGATCTATAATTGATTAGATCCACTTCATTTGGACTCTGTTAAATAGTTTGTCTCATTGGCAATCATTCCACATTTCCTTATTTTATATTGATACTAATTAATATAAACCATGATCAGTTTATATCTCAAAATAAAATAGTTGGCGTTATAAAGAATATAAAATTTTTAATAAACGGACCATTGGCGTTGACAACTAACAGTAACAATAAGAATTGTTATAGATTAAAAATAATTCAATAAACACAAATAATTATTTCTGTGTGGATATTGTTTTGGCAGTTCCAGAGAGAAAATGGATTAAAAATACCCTATGATAACACAAGTGTCAAAAATATACCTCCTATGTGTAAAATAGCACAAGACAGAAATCACCCCTCTGTACACGTAATCTCGGCAAAACAACAGTTCCTTCAATTTTATATTTGCAAGCAATCTGCAAACAGCGGAG